CAGGGGCGTGCACAGAGATTTGAAGTAGGGTAGGCAGAAGGTATCACATGATTAAAAAAAATTTGGTCTACATTAATCTCGGAAAATAAAACTCCCGAAACATCATAATTTTGAGTAGGTAATTAGGTTTAGTAAGTATTTTATTAATTTGTATAAACAAATTAGGTACATAATTATTTTCAAACTATCCGTGTATAAAGTTGATCAACATAGATACCTAGGTATCTATTTTACAAATCTATTAACTAGGTACCTACTTTGGAGCGGCGAAGTACAAATGGTTACACATCAAGCTATGCGACACCAGTATAAACTGACCGTTAAATGCATAGAAAAATCGTACAAAGCGAGATCAAGATGACTGGATTTTAAAAACATTAATGAAATTGGTACACAACCAGTGCTAACAAAACAAACTATACCTATAATCGCAAATCGTAGTTTATTAAAAGAAATAATAAAATTATTACCTTTTTTGAGTTACGCCTAGCCCGGACATACGACACACGCAAAATCGCCTTTGGAAATATTTTCGTTTCTTCTTCGAACGACAATAAGGACAACGCACTCATATTTAATTTATTGAACAACACAAATCACCAGCACAGAGCTCACAGCTATAATTTTACATAATTTTCGGTAAATTAACAGTTCATTTAAATTATAATTCATTACATTACAATTTATTCACTTGCACATAAAAACATAACCAAAACAAAATGGCCAAAAAAAACGTAAACAATAAGTTGACCAAAATTAATATATCTATTTTCAATCAACAAACGCTACGTTTTGTTGACTTCTTAAATTAGTCGGATAACGAAGAAGCAGTGCTTTTGCAGTTGTATAGAAATTACCAACCTAACAAAAAAAAAATCCAACATCAGCACGAGAAAACAAGCAAATTGTACCGGCTACGCATTAGTACATGCTTCCGCCACCATCACACAATAGCGTGGTGGCGGCGCCACTGGCGCAATGCTTCAATATATCGAAGAAAGTAGAAAGTGGTTGTAGTACTTCAATATTTTTTCGATAGATGGCGTTAGTGACCAGTTTTTCAAATTAAGTATCAATAAAATTACGAAATTTCTGTATGATGTCAGTAAATATTCATGTCGTGTTTATGAGTGACACTATGTATTTGACTATGTAGGTTTACCATGATTTTGTAGGGTATGCAGTGCTTATTTGCATGTATGGTGTGCACGCCACTGCCTATGTTCACCAGTGGACGTCCTATGGCTAGTATGTAGTATGATGATGAAACATTCACCATTATATCATTTGAATGGAATTCATAAAAATGCAAGTACTGTTTGTGATTGCATCACACCACATAAATGTAAGTCAGTTGTGATGGGATCTTTGATCATAATAAATTTAAAGTAAATTTTCCATTTTGGTGTAAGTATTTCTAGTGGCCCACTAAATAAGAGAAACATTAAAACATTAAGTGAAAAATATTAGGTATCACTTCAGAAAAGATCCAAATGCATACCAATAAACTGTAGTACAATTCAATGCAAAATGTCACTTGTTCTTACACAACACACCTACTATGGCGAAAGTTTGCTCAAACTATTACTATGATTATAACAACCAATATTGGTGTCAAATAAATTACTCAAGGTTATCTACATTTAGAATTTGTCTTGTCAAGTTTGTGTTCCAAGCATGAGTAGTAGCTAATGTATCTTTGTAATTGAACGACAAGGGTCTGTGGAGAATAAACAGTACCGGCGTTAGGTTGGGAGGGGTGTGATGGGGTTACGGCCCAGGGCGACAAATTCTGGGGGGCGCCAAGGTCTGAAGTTGGAGTCTCTTGCCTGGATCAAGCCCTCAGACCTGTGCTCAACGCTCTGTGCATATCTTTCATTGAGATTTTTTTTAGATGGTTTTTTTAGGGTTGTGGTCCGCGTCGTTAGCTCTGTAACGTTAAAAGAAAGTTCTAAATATAATTTTACTTGGGATCAGCAAAAAACTAACACTGCTTCCCTCAAGTTGGCGCCACAATATTTTCACCCAGGGTGTCAGTGGCCCTTACGCCGGCACTGAGAATAAGAAATCTAATATATAAAAAATGTATGGGTTATAATTGTATTTATGAGGCTTCCTCTATCTTTATGCATCAGTCATCATCAACAGTCAAAAGTAGTCCACTGAAGGACAAAGGCCTCCCCCTTAGTCCTCCACATGCATCAGTAAATTGAATTAAACTGTCAAACACCAAGCGGTCACCGGTGACCGCAACCTATTGTTCTATAATTGTGTCTATAATGACGGTACTCGACAAGTTAATTGCAGTGATTCAGGGTAATTGTTCTAAATCTGGTAACAGGCATGCCTGATCATGTAAAAAGAGCTTTAAACAAAATGTATGATAGTATTAAATTAAAAGCTTATATTTGTCAGGATCTGTATTATGTTTATTTTTTTTCAATAGCATCCTGGTGGAGAAGATCCGATCCTAGAAGCAGCCGGACAGGACGCCACGATAGCATTCGAAGATGTAGGCCACAGTGAAGATGCAAAGTGAGTTCTTGTTTATGGTTTTGCAAGTATTTTAATTTTTTTTATTGACTAGAATGAATGAAAGTAGGTTCTATATTGTTTATTCTTTTTCACCAAGTTTTACGAGTTGTGTAGCAGAAGTATTGTGTTCTTTGACAATTAAAATGTGCTAAAAATGAATTATTTTGTTTTCAGAGCAATGTTAAAAAAATACAAAATTGGAACCCTAGCACCAGGAGAAGGCTGGTAAGTTATTATAAGCAAAAATAACATAAAACCTCTATGCTTAAAACCAATCGGAAAAACCTTTGGTCCTCCATAGATACGCAAAAAGAACACCAAGCACGCAAAAAAATAGTAAAAAATAAACACTGTTTTTTAAAAAATAAGCAAAGAAACTCAACTCCAGTCTCCACAGATTGAAATGGCTATAAAATAATGTAAATTGTTTGCAGTTGTAAAATGAGAGCCCAAATCTGGAGATCAAGGTAAAATAATTTGTGTCGTCACACTAATTTATTATAAGTTTAGATCTTACCACATAGATGTTAAGGTTTACATTTAAATGTAAGACATTATTGGATATGTATTATTTTTATGTGATCTTTTTATCGTCATGACTATGTTCTTAAAATAGCACCATTGTAAACATGTATTATCTAATTTAAGATCTTGTACTTTAAATCTTAAGGTCTATTATCGTATGTAAATAATTGTTGTCATGGAGGTAATGTAACTAGAAGTAATTTATCGTAATCTGTGTATCAAAAGTACAGATTCTATTCTATATTTAGACATTAGCTAATCTTATTAGATAATAATGTAGTATTTTTGTGTAAACAAAAGTGTTTATTTCCATATAGAGTGATTAGATAACATCTTATTTAATTTCTGGTGTAAGTTTCCATGCGGTCGAATCATCTTAGAGGTACAAAGTCTATGTTTGGGCTTGTATTAAAGTTCACTTTTGTGTTAGCTAATTATGAACCTAACCGCTTCGTATTTAGAGATACATATTTGTGGTCAAGTAGCCCTTTACCTCAAGGCTAGTACAAGGTAAACTTCTATGCTACGGGCCCCCCAAACTCATTAATGGGGGCAAATAGTTATTGAAAGATTGTAGATAGAATCCTGTAGTTACTTAACTTATTAAATGAAAGTTTTACAATGTCTACAGTTCACCATACCACCGAGATTGCACCGAGTGTAACGCTAGCAGGTATCTTTGATGACATTCACTTTTTTATTTAATTAATTTTTTTGGTCTTAGTTTTTTAAATCAAAACCTGAAAAATTGTACCTAAACAATAACTTTTAGGGTAGGTACAGTGATTACGAATTCTTTATGAAGCCACAACTCAGTAGGAAGTTTTGTGGTGGCGATTTTTGTTTTAAATTCGAAGTCTTCAAGATGATTTAATTGAGAAACAAACGACAAACTGTAGATTTTTATGTAATATTCATCCGCACTAAAGTTCTATGTCACACCCAAGGCTGATAATCACTGTACTTGAAGACAGGTGGACAATTTGTACTGGCAAATCTTATCGAAAAAACTGTAGGCACGGCCCCGATTTACTATGACATTGTATTTACCAATATCGAATTACAATTATTATTATGTAACAAAATTTCAAGGCGAATGCTGAAATTGCGTCAGTCGGACCGAGTCATATCAAATTCACATTTTAACTGATGGAAATATTATTTTTAGATGTTTTTGTGTTATAGTAAACATGGGGCCAGTACTATAGTTGTGTATATTGCTCTGTAATAAGAAACTACTGAATAGTTTCTTGTTATATATCAGAGCAATGGAATATGGTGAAAGGAATCGTGATCTAAAGTCAGTCCTTTGGTTGAAATGGAAAAAGTTTAGTACTAATAAATGACAGTCTGCCATTTTGACAAAAAAAAAAATGTTATCCTTCGAAAGAAACAGTCAGATTGGGAAACAATATACCTAGTCGTGTTCAAAATACAGATTTTAACTAGGACGTTGTCGATGTGAATTCATATTTTTATGGTCAAATTGGCAGATATAGTCCGGTCAACTAGAGCTCTTCTGTGAAACTTTTTTTGAGTGATGTCTAATTTTGTTAGTTGAGATACCGCCATATTTCGATTTGTCTTTAAGGTATCTTTATATTTCGTATTAGACTTTTTCGGTTCTAACTTTTTATATTTTCGCGCTGAATCAAGTGATACATAAATTATAGATTTCCGATGCTGCTGAAAGAAGTTGAACAAAAGAAGCACTTGTTGACTAAATGTCTTTTAGTCTGTACATGTTTAAATTGTAATTCAACTAGTGATATGCCTGGCACAAGCGATTCAAAATCGTGGCGATCCTTTGATGGTGGCACCCCAAGCTCAGTCAGGTTCGGATTGCTTGTTTTATATACTTTTCTATAGAAACAATTTGGAAAAATTAGGAGCTTGCAGCTTTTTTGCTCGTGCACTCAGCGTGTCGCAAGAGGCGCTGGATAAGGCCTCCCCAAAACGACACATTATTTGCTAATGTCGTTTGTCAATCTATTCCGCTACGCTGGGACCGACAAATCATTTGGCACACTAGCGCCACCTGGCGATGGCTGAAATGAATGAATATGAAGTGTTAAAATAAAATCGCTTGGAGTTCTGCGCTGTTGATTAGTTAGAAAAGTGCACATTTATGTTGCCATACATAATGTTCTGTAGAACCTTGGAAGTTGATTTAGTTAGAAAAGCTTACAAAAATTGCTTTGTTAGAAATGTTTCGTGAGAAAAATGGTTTATTTTTATTAACTTATTAATTTTGTAACAGCCGAAAGTCGTCACTCAAATGTTTTAAAGAACCTGGGCCACCTAGGCACGAGAGGAGAATACAGCGTATAGTGGTGCCGAAAGAAAGGTTCAACTTTATTTATCTTTATATATTTTTTGTCTTGGCAATAAAGTTTCATTTATCTATGGAATCATTTAAAAAATAAAACAATCATTTACAAGGTGTGCTGCGAAATTGTAAAGTTTTTAGCAATTGTTTTTTGTTATTAATAATAGATTTGTAGTATATCTACATACCTAATTTCTTTTCCTTTTTTCCAAGACGACGGCCTCGAGATCTGCCTTGTGCAGAACCAAGGTTATATTTATCTTTTATATCTAATTGTTGAAGCATAGAGTATCTATAGTTTAGTTTGATCTTAGATAGGTACTTATGTATTTGTAAGAGTATGTGTATTGTAACTTCACGCTCGTAACCCTTACGTAGGAGCAGAACTCTAAGCGAAAGTGCATTATAAAAACATTCTGAGTCTTCTAACTAAATTCTCTAAAAGATAAAAAAAAAACTATAATCTCTATAAATAAAATGGCTGCCAGCTGTCAGCCGCCATCTTAGTTTTGTCACGGTTTTCATCGCATTGTTAAAAGGTAACTAAACATGGTACGAATTTTATATTAATCGCTACCAAGATTTAGTTACTTGCCATTTATTCTGTTTGAATATTGTCTCGAGTTCTACAGATCCTGTAAGAATACGAGCTTGAAGATGTGTATAATGTTGATCTTGTTGTTTAAAGGCGTGGAAAGCCTTGTAGGCCTGGTCCCCAGCCTGCTCCAAGTCCCCCGGCGGAGTCCGGGTAATATTAGTACTAGTGTTTAAATTAGTTTTTGGTGTATCGGGTAATATGGTACCAAGTGTTTTTAATCTAGCTTATAAATTAGAAAAAAGTATTTATTTATCAGAGAATGTTAATAATTAAAATGTACCTAGTCTACCTATCTTTGTAAATTAATATAGTACTTATTGTTGATTAACTATTTATATTAATATTAATTACTTGTTGTAAGTTTGTAGCTTATAGTGTATGTATGTCAGAAATTGGCATATATTTTTACATTGATATGACATTTTAGATGCATATTAACAGTTTTATCCACCGATTTTCACTCTTATTGTATTTATGACAGGACAAAAATTTTTCATTACAATGTAATATGGTTGTGCAAAACACTGCCTTTGTAATAGAAACCAATATTGGTTAAAGCTGGCTTGCAATAATGTCTAATATGAGTGAATGCGAGTACTAGATATCCTGCTGATAATTTTATTTTTAGAAACATTTCATTCATCTTCGTATTTTCATTCTACTGAGTTATTCAAAACAGTGAGTACTTGACTTTATTAATAAATGCTTTATTTTACAGCACATCGCGGTGGAAGTATGCAGTATTGGCGCTGGGAGTCGCTATCCTTCTTGGATTTGCATACAAGAAATACACGTCGGGCTAAAACAGATACAAAAAAAACACCCAGTAGAGGTCCAAAAAATCTGGTTTAAACCAGTCAAGGTCTAGTTTAAGCCTAAGTTGTACCAGTCGGGACTGTGTCTCAATTCTCATGGCCACTGAAGAACCCCTTTACGTTATTTCAACGTCCATTGTCATAAAAATCATTCGTCCCATAGTAAACCTTGTCTTCAAGAAGTTAAAGTTCAAAATTGTATGTCTTTGTCTATATATTTAGGTTGACTTCAGTGGTCGTAAATCGTTGTATTTATTAGGGTTCATAGAAAACAGATTTTTGAAGTCTGTTCGCATAATGTAGGTGCTTAATTAATATACTTTCAATGTTTGGCTACTTGTATACTCAGTGTCTATTTATTGGACCATAAATTGTAATGCTTAAGTTGTTATTGGTGGAAAATAAAAGTCAGGTATAAATTACATTTTTTTACTTGTTCGACTTCACATTCTGTTTCACTGAAACACTGTAACGACGCGTTTATTTTGTGATACATTTATGTACAAATCTTTTATACAACTGTTACAATTTTCTTATTTATTATGACATGATGCAATAAAGTAGTTAATAGTGAAATATTGTGTTTGTATTCACATTAATCTTTGGCTGCAGTTGTTAGTAAATGTTTGATTATCACAGAAGATATTTTATATAAAGTTTTGTTCAAAAATGCACCAGTAAAATGCAAAAGGAACCACGTACATGTATAGTTGTTATTGAAATTAAATTAAATAAATAACAAAGTAGAAAATGACCTAACAATGTGAACCCCTTTTACGTTTTTTAAAGAGCAATCAATATTTGTGTGGAATAATTTCTCTGATGGTTAACTATGAACAAATGCGGCTAACTGTATTTATCCCATTGAAATTCGTTTCAAAACTACTAAAAACTCGTATTTGACAATGAAATTGTCACATAAAAAGGGGTTATCCTAAAAAAGGAACATAAAATTACTTTAAAGTTTAACGTAATCTATGAAAACTTCAAATCTATTTCGTTTTGCGTCGTCACAGCATGAAGAAGCTGATGGCTGTGATGATGGCCAGATGGAAGACGTTCACTTGAAGACTTGTGCTGCTGGAGTAGGCCCCGAGCTTGGCTGCGTAGGATATCGCGTGGAACACATAGTGCTGCTCGTGGACGTTGTGGAATAAATGGGAATAGGGACCTGGAAATAAGGCTTTTAATTATAATACTTATAGGTCGGGTTGTGTTTCAGTAGCTTCGCTGTAGCACGTGACATTTAAGTAAGTAGGTAGCCGAAATTCATGGAGATAAAAAAATCCAATTTTATTTATTTGCGTAGATTAAAGCAGACAATAAATCAGTGGGAGTCCATATTTAATTTTATGTGGGTTAATGAATTATTATTATGTCTGTACGTACCAAAATAATGAGGGCATAGAAATACATAGAACCATTTTGCGTTGTTTTTTTTTCGTTAAAAGGTTTAATTATTCCTATACCGAAACATAACCACCCACTCACCTCTAGCATAGACAGCGACATCGCCACCTCCATGGTAATTCTCCACGAGCTGTATACCAGCGACCTGGGTGTAGTTGTACTGCTCCGTGTCCTCCTTGCTAGGTTCTCGTCTCATCACATGGCTGCCAGTGGTGTCAGTTTGCACGTAGAACTGGAATGACCCTGGACCTCCCGTGCCGTACGATAGCGTTGTGTAGTTTATGCCATCATGGCTTGAGGGTTGAGCTATGCCTGGAATGATAAAAGTTCACGTTTCAAGTAGGTATCATCATTTTAGCATTTTTCGTGCCATAAGAGGCAAACTTGTAGTACTTTGTTTTTATAATAACTATCGCCAGACATACTAAATTAACTAAAAATCGCGCCATGTCGATGAACGCGAACGATGCTCATGAGAAAGAAGCCCTCTGTGGTTTAAAACTAGTACAGCTTTTCTCAGAGATATTCACGTGAGAAACCAGCGATTTTTAGTTAATTTTAGTACTTTATTAGAACTTGGACTCGAAACAGGGCCTCTAACCCAATGGAGTAAATCGTCTTGGAGCGCCCTCGGCTTGGGAAGGCGAAGGATGTTGTGAAACTCTTACAGAATCAAAGTCACTGCGATGCCCCATCTCACACGTGTCCGTGAGGGCACGGGTATCATATTCAGCCTTTTAACCTTCCATATTTTTACCCTCTAAGCCAATCTAGTACATACTTCTTTTGTTCTATTTAGGTCGTTTTTAGAATTCTAGATTATTTCATCAACGGTCATACTAACCAAAAATACTGGACCCTCGATCTGGATAGCCGTTTATAGACAATGTATGCGTGTGGTCGCTGGTGACGACGAGCAGGGTGTCTTCCGCATCAGTCATGTCGGCTGCGAGTTGGACAGCTTCCTCCATAGCTACAGCTTCGTTCACAGCGACTTTGGCCCAGCCTCTGTGATGAGCCATGTCTACATTGCCACCTTCTACCTGTGAATATAAATGATGTCAGCACCTTTGTTTATACTTTGCTGAAAAGTATTTGTTCTGACAATGGTTGTTGTGTTGTGGATTATGACAAATTGTTTGTATTAATTACTTAGTTAAGAAAGATATTTTTCGTGGGTGGCTACGTAAGTTTAAATAACGTAAGAACTCGGAATGTTCACAAATAATCCCCTAACCTATAGTATTATAACTTATAGATATACTGACCATAAGGAAGTATCCCTTTTTATTCTTCTGCAGGACTTTGATGGCGGCTCCCACCATCTCGGACAGTGAGGGCATGCCATCAGGTCCCTTGTTTCTCTCGTGGTCGTAGCTCAAGTGCTCGTTCGAGAAAATTCCTGGAAAAATGAGTATAAATTATTAGGTACCGGAGTAGTGTTCAGTTGGTGCAGGACCTGCAAGTTAAATCTTTAAATATTTCGCACCACAGTTTTAGTTAAATAATGCCGTATCTATCGTCTCCAAGAGAAACTGATGCAAGATAGTGTGTTCCTAAATTAATGAATTAGACATTATCACATATAATTATCTACTTACCGAGTAAATAATCCGTTTCATTAACGTTCAACTCTGCTAGCTCCCTATTGTTCATGATCACGCTATGTTTAAAACCTCGTGTCTGTTTGTCCGTCTTGTACTGCTCAATGAGGTTCCGTCCATCTTGCCGGTAGCAAGTCCACGGACTTAGATTTATAGGGTCCTGCTCGGTGCCAGTTGCGTTCGACACCAACTGCTGCCTGCCTCCTCCCATTATGACCTGAAAAATTTTCACAGATATAAGTAAAGAGAGATAAAAATCATACCCACTGCTCTGTTACTTCGCTTTGGTTCAGAGGGCCAAGCACGAATAACTATCGCATTCGTATCTTAACAGTATCGAGCGAGTTAAGCGTTCTGATTGGTTGGTTCACTTGAGCCAGCCAATCAGAGCGCCGAACGCACTCTATACTATTACGTTACGAATGCGATAGTTATTCGTGCTTGGCACTCAGTTCAGTTCCTTAGTGCCATTCCGTCTCTCACCGGTAAATATGCTATTAATATATTTTAGTGTAAGTAATCATATCAATCACTACTTATTATGGCCTATTTTTATCAGTCCCCCAATGATTCCTATTTGTATTGTATAAACATTAGGATTTAGCCAAGACACTCACTTGCAAATCTCGTCCAGGCCAATCCTCGACAAGTTGTCTGGCGATGTCCTTGCAGGGAGAGTTGTCTGGCAGCCTGGCCTCACACTCCCAGCTGCGGCTCGCACTGTGCGCGTACAGAGGACTGGGGGTCGCGTGCGTCACTCGCATTGTTGTTACGAAACCTGAGCACACACGATAATTAGGTATAATTTGGTGATGGCCTATAGAACTTGTGGATGTAAATGATACTTGCCCAATATCTACGGCAATGCTTGAATCCGTTAAACACTTTAATTACTAAGTTAAACTAGCGTCAGGCACCGGTGACTGACGTGGTACTCTACAGGATAATTTTGTTTACTGTTAAGTACAGTTCGTAATTTCCAAAGTTTACTGTCTTTAAAAATATGTCTGTAAAATTGCCAAATACCCAGCATGTTTTCGGTGTACTAAAAGTGGCATTACTTTATTATGGTATACATGGATAACAAGTTAAAGAATTATGAAGTAATCGTGTCTATGAAGTTTATGCAATAGCTACCTCGTCTATTGGAACGTGGAATGTTACATAGTTGACAGACCTAGTTATAGTTACTAAACAATGGATTCCTTTCCCAGTCTATTCAACTTCGTTTAAATAGTCACCTGCACTCTTGTCAGCTTCCAAGGCTAAAGCTGCGAGGGACTTCAATCTAGCCTCGGCCTTGAGACCTGCTTCGCAGTCCCTGTGCTGAACCGAAGCGTCGACTCCTACTGTATCCTGATTGACCTTCACTCCGCTGAACATGGCGGTCGCAGTGCAAGCTGAGTCGGGCACCATCTTATTTGCTGAATATGTCTGGAAAAAAAACACGGGGATTTAACTTGTTGAGTACCGTCATTATAGACACAATTAAAGAACAAAGGTTGCGGTCACCGGTGTCCTCGCGGTGTATGACAGTTTAAACGAGTCATTGCAATGTGGAATAGTCTCGCTTAAGCGTTGAGGGATGGGTGTTTAAAATGACAAAATAAACACAATAAAATAGAGTTGCTGGCGAAATTATACTTCAACAATTAGATAGTAAATATACACTAACATAATCTAGGACATATAATTTCTTTATTCTTCTGAAGACAGATTTATTGGTCTCCTACGGACATCATATTATATGGTTCGCAATTTAATTAATTCGAATAATAATATAATTATCCACTAAGCCCACTACGAAGTATGGAGTGCATCTATTGTACGGAAATTGATTTCTACGTTTACGTCTATCTAGGTATCTAAATTTACCTTCAAAAGTCCCATATGAGGGAACTTCTCATAGACCAGCCTGTGGCTCTCCCCGCCCTTGTATATCCTGGCTGCTGTCACAGTGTTCGGCCCCATGCCGTCTCCTATGAACAGGATCACGTTCTTTGCAGGATTCAGGTTCCATTTTATCTTCAGGGCTTCTTCTAACTCATTGTGTGCGAGGTCGGTCCAGAACTGACGATCTGAGGAGCATTTGTAGCTTAAATTAAGGATTCAGTGAAGTTTTACATCTTATAATTACATGCCTACAGATAGATGGTAGGTACCTACCTACTCTACCTCTTGGGTGGAGATAGGGGTGCATATTAAGTGTCTACGTACTACAGTCATAAACAGCATGCTGAACGCTGGTAGTCTAGGATTAGAGATCTTAAGTGATTTCTGTAATTGATTGTAATCATATAGATTGAGAGAAACATACTACTTCTAAACATATTGAGGAGAGAAGAATGTTTATACACTTCAATTTCAGATCAAAAACAATGAAAAGATTTCACATCGAATCGAAATAATTGAAATGACTAACATCGATATATCTTATTGTTGTATCACTATGACGTAAGTTAATTAATAATTTCAATTCACACCTATACAATTGATATTAAGACTGCTTGATCTTTCGGTGGGTTACCTATTTATAGAAGAAAATATTTAATTATAACAGAGTTGATATTTAAACAATAACACTGATAGTTATCATTATCTACGCTATTGGCAATGTAAGTACATGATTAAGATAATTATTTATTTGACCGTTGACTGACTATAGGGCACAATTAAGTGTTCACTAAGTGCATTATAAGATGAGAAGAGAACTTGAATGCATAATAAATTCATTCATACGCAGTGGCCATTCTTAAAAGGTGCACAATATCTAGTTATTGTATATCAATATGGTGAATGCAACAATATATTTTTACTTTAAATGCGCACCAATCCTATAATTATTTTTTTTGAGTCCGCAGATGTATCCTATGAGACTCTCTCTCCTGTCTTAGGTGTGGCGAGAGAGTGTCTCAGACTCTTACTGGTTTAAAACCACCCCTTTCCTACTCCTGCCTCGAGCTGGAGACCTGGCAACCCGCTAGGTCGTTCGCAGCTCCGGGAGATGATAGCATATTGCATGTACCTATTTTATGCATGAAAAGAAGAACCTTGCTCTGTGCAAAGTGCAGCTTCCATTGGTAGGGGAGTGTAGAAACATTCTGTTAATAATACATATATCTACAGTGGAATCTGTGGAGGCTAACATTCAAGAGAGTGAAAGGATATGCTAAAAATAAAATCAGATTATGAAGTTTTAGAGATATCAAGATTCCATCTCATATACCACACATTAATACAAGAGCTATACTGATTTGATATTGATGATCACTTTAGCCAAACGCCACTTTAACGCTTGTCTATAGTATAAAGTATTCCCGTGGGATGACACTGACAAAACTAATCAAAATTTTAGAAAAAGCTTTAGGTACAGTTCATTGGTATGATTCTAGTTTTTGTTTCTTTTTATTTGTACCTACATGCTTTTGCCTTATTCGACCTATGTTATACCTAAACCCCTGGTTTGGTTACCAAAGCCAAAGCAGTGGTATGTAAATATTTGTGCATGGTTCAATACCTAAGTTGGTACGTTTTTAAATGAAACGTGTCGGTGTTGGCCACCTACTCAAATAGTTACGTAGTTAAGCAGTTACAGGTAGGTGAATCTAATTTAAGAATGAGGAAAACATTCGCACTGAAACTGAAAACTGAAGCAGCTTCTTAAACCAACGATTCTGAAGTTTATTTACATGTTGTAGACAGGTATGTACAAACAATCTTTAATTTTGTTCCGATGAAATACTTAACACAAGTATTAAGCCATTCCTCTTTCTACTAGGTAAAGGTACACTTATTGTATCATCGGCTTACGTTACATCACATGCGTTTATAATGCGCCTGCCAGACTATGCACGCTGCTCATCGCTACGCTTCTCGCGCTGCCGTGATTTGACGCGATGTTGCCCTCTCTGCCCACACACTGCCACTACCCGCACAATTAGGTGGCGTTCCACAAGTCTGAGGCCATGTGTTTTCATGGTCGCGGGAAGGCGCCACCTTCGGGTGAGTCCCAAATAACGGCGGGAGGGGTTACCATCGGCATCGAGACGGCGACGAAGTACCTAGGACTCGTCCTTGACAGTCGGTGGAACTTCGTGGAACATTTCCGACGTTTGGTTCCTAAGTTGGAGAGGACGGGGGCGGCGCTTAAGCGCCTCCTACTCAACCCTGGGGGGCCAAACGCCTCCCGCTGGAGGTTATATGCCTGGGTCGTGCGGTCCATGGCCCTCTACGGCGCCCTTGCGTGGGCGCCGAACCTGATGCGGCAGCCCGCTCGGGCGCTGCTGACGTCACAGAGGGTCATGGCGATCCGAATGATCCGCGAATACCGCATGAACTCCGGGGAGGCGGCGAACCTCCTTGCCGGGATTGCCGCCGTGGGATCTGGAGGTGAAGGTGCTCGCGCACGTGTATCGCATGCGCGCGGAGGCACGTCCCCGGGGCGAAACTCCGCTGCCGCGCCAGATTAGTGCTTGGCGGGAAGAGCTACGGCGCGATCTCATGGCGGAATGGTAGCAACGACTGTCGCAACCGAGGGCTGGGCTCGCTGCCATCGCAGCGGTAAGTCCCCTCTTTGAGGAGTGGCTTGAGAGGCACTACGGCGTCCTCACCTACCAACTGACGCAGGTCCTCACCGGACATGGGAGCTTCGGGAGGTACCTGTGTCTGATAGGGCGGGAGGAAACGCCCGGGTGTTATCAGTGCGAGGACCGCCCTTAGGACACGGTGGAACACACAGTCGGAACATGCCCTGCGTGGGCTGAGCACCGCCGTGCCCTCAGGGACGTGATTGGCGACGGCGACCTCTCGCGTCCGGGCCTAGTGCGGGCCATGATGCGGAGCGAGGGGGACAGGGATGCCGTCTCCTCCTTTTGCGAAGCAGTCATGCTAGCTAAGGAGGAGGCGGGACGCGTGAGGCAGCGAAGCGCTGCCTCTTCACAACCCAGCCGTCGCGAAGGACACTCCGGGCGTCGGGTATCGCGAGACGATCTCTGGCCACCGTAAGCGCGGACCTGCGAACGGCGAACATGGGTGGCTCGCCGCCCGACCAGTACCAGACCCGAGCGTACGGCGCGTCGCGTTCCGCGCGCGCCTCAAAGAGAGAAATTTATCTTACTTTAACACAATGATCTTTCTCTTTTTGACCAATAAATATTGTATTATTGGCCTGAGCCCCTTGTCTGAAGTGTGTCTCAGTCACTTGACTGAAGTCCCTGGTATGGTTAGTCCAGTCGTGTTAAGATGGCAAGAGCCTGCCGCGAGTCACCGGAGTACCGCGCGCCCACTCCTGAGCGCACGAAACACCTTCGTCCAACCGTGGCTCGCGTACGTTCCCGCCAAAACCCGTAAAATTTTACACCATATTGACAATTGTTTAAGATCTAAAACTTGTTATATCAATATTAAAATATTTTCCATATTTTTAAACTATTTTGCTCAGGTTATATGTTAGGTTATGTTAATGGTTTATTACCATTTAAAATTTTATTTATAATCTATATAATTATCTATATCACTACGAAACATATTTTTTCACAAAAACAAAAAATATCAAAAACATTAAGTAATATTGACAACCCTATTGCTTTTATGGAGTGTAGGTATTTATTTTATAAACAAGGCCTAATTTCTTTACTGTTCGTTTATTTCTACTGTGCTTTAGATGAGACCTTTTTTAACTAGACTTCATTAGTTTACTAGTTATTATTCTGTCTGTTACGTCTGTCTGTCTTATTAAGTAACTACTTGGAATACTGGAATTAGGTACGCTTTACTTGATCTGGGATAGAACCTTAGATCTGTAATAACTTGAGACTTATATATACACACTTGCAACTTTTTTATTTGTATTATAAAGTTCATGAGACATACTAAGTTAATTATTATGTTTAACGGCTTTCTCACGTTTGACGAGGAACTCGACTAGTTTCAAGCCATTCCAGAGGCTCATATTCATTAGCAGCATTCCTACCTAGGTAATAATTTACTTATTTGATTAGCCATATTTCGTCGAATGATTTAAGTGTCTTTATTATTTAGTGACCCGTCCATTACCCCTTCAGGTAATATACCTATACTAATATTATAAAGCTGAAGAGTTTTTTTTGTTTGGTTGTTTGAACGCGCTAATCTCCGAAACTACTGATTCGAATTGAATAATTCTTTTTGTGTTGGATAGCCCATTTATCAAGGAAGGCTTTAGAGGCTATAAAACATGCATTGGCGTGGCATTAAGTGCCGAAATGTGCACCTCTGCCTACCCCTTCGGGGATAATAAAGGCGTGATGTTATGAAGATGAAGAAGCTATAGGCTATAAAACATCTCGCTACGGTCAATAGGAGCCGAGCAGAGCGGGTGAAACCGCGCGCAAGTAGCTAATAGCGTCATAAAATGAGTGTCCTACTATCTGCTTTAGAAACTTGGTCCTTACAATACACGCCTGCGCAACAGATGCTTGCAAAGACACACAGATGTTTTTTGCCCTATCTAAAACAATAGGTTCATTTTACACCTCAGGTAGATACTTTAAAACAAATAACAAATTTTATATAAAAAAGACTAATTAAAACTTGGATCAAGTTTCATAAAATAATAAGCCTTCAATAAAACTAAAATGGAGTTTAGTATTGTACTTAGAATCTTCAGAATAAAATTAAAAACATAGGAAGCTTACCTATTAACTATGTACGAAATTGCTATAACTATGTATGAAGGTACTGAGACAGGTACTTATTGTACGTATTTGTCATAGATAATCAATTATACTTAATACGTTTATACGTTTATTAGAGAATTAACACAGTGAAGCCCTGACTCTTGTACTAGGTATCCCTGTACCACAAGAGCCAGGTCTCTCAATATACAAGGAATCAATACACCACGTGAGAACTGAATGAAATGAGAAATGAATGAATAGATGCATTAGGTACAGAACACATTTATCTATTCATTAAAAACATTCATTGAACCCGACAACAAACGGTAAATAGTTTAACCTTGGCAAATAATTGCCCAAAATTCGTACATAACCAAAAAATCTTACAACAAACAACCATAAAATCAAACAGTTAAAATAGAAAATAAATTATTGTAAAATAAATAATTATTAAATAATAAATAAACTTACCCGTTCTTAACGTGGATCGTACAGTGACGATGAAAGCACAAAACGCGAGTACACTGCGCGCACGCATGTTTGACACTAAAGATCTATACGTCACTGTGCGCGCACGCCGTCTGCGATGATTGGGTAAGGCGACGCAATCAGGGAAGCTATATACAAAAGGCTTACAAGATTGTTATTCGCAAATTACAAGGATTATGATAATTATACGATAACATTATTTTCTATTATGCAATTTTGTGTTTGTTTTAGAGTTTTTTCATTTTGAAGAGAAATATTTATCTGTTACTATATTAGTTGAATTTATTAACGTACATTGTTCCTAAGTAGACGAGTAGGTAATTCGCCATGCATTCATTGAGAATTTGTTGTATAGTTTATTAGTAGGTAATCTTTTTGCTTTTACCTGTTTTATCGTTGTGACTATAAAAAAAAAATAAACATAGAATTATTCTTTATTTCATCAATTAACACGTAACAACAAATATTTTTAACGTTAAATTAGAAAAAAATACTAGGTTATATGTAGTTCGATTATCGCGGATCACGCTCATAGTTAAGGGCTCGTATCGTGGCCTGAAACTAGTTGAGTATGAATAAGACAGAGACCTGGAACACCAGAGGCGTTACAAGTGCGTTACCGACCTCTTGGGGTTTAGGAGTTTGAGGATGGTTGGGGATTCGGGGATTGGGGAGATTGGGGGTAATTAATTAAATATTTCATAAATCTTAATGATTCTATATTATCTTAATAATGAGTCTATAAAATTGAGGAAGTTGAACTTCTGAACAATGTATTTTACATTTACTGAAACTTTAACAGTTTTCAGCAAAGTATCGACGTGTTGAGGGTCATCTTAAAATATGGTGTTTTGTTTATTAAAAAGTGGGGGAACATTGTGGGCTAATTTTGTTAATTAAGTAGCTATTTATATTGGGTTGAGGTTGGACCGAACTTATAATATAATTAGTGTTAAAAATATCGCATGCTACATGCTATAGCTAGTGACTTGACTTATTTCAAATTCAAAATATGTGATAGAGAATAGAATAGAATAAACTTTATTGTACACCATTAATAATATAGTACACACAAAAAGAAAATGACAAACATAAATGAAAAAAATAATAATGGGCACAAAGGCGGTCTTATCACTTATATAAGTAGGGTTACAATAGTTTTTAATCGGTGTTTTTTAAATATTGCTCCCATCTATTTTAGAAATTCTCTCTTGTGTTATGAGTGCGTTAATAAGTATAAATTAACACACGAAACAGTAATTTGTGAATCATATAAAGAATGTTTTGTGTCGGATTCGAAACCTCGACTCATTGGACAGCAGCCGGTCGTCCATCCAATATGCTAACGGTGCAGTCATGCAGTCAATCTCAATCGTTTCCATCGAGCAAGCGTAATAAAGTCAAACCCACGACCACTTGAAATAATTCCTTGGAATTTTTCGGATTAAAACAACGTGCAGCTGGTACCTAACTGAAACTGCAGGAATGTGTAAGGACATATAGGGCAATAAAGCCAACGGTTTTTGAAGGGGGCCATCGAATGACTTCTCCCATCTGGGTGAGACGAGAGGGGGTGTCAGACTCTTACTGACTAAAAACCACCCCGTTCCTACTCCTGCCGTTCAAGCCGGAGCTCCGCAAACCCGCTAAGTCCTCCGCGGCTTCGTATCGGCATCAGCCTTATTGGGCCCCATCTGTGGTGGTCTGATGGCTCTTTGAGGCGCGCGCGGAATACAACGCGCCAAGGAAACACTAAGGTGTCCCAAGACCTGTATCGGCGACATGTCGAGCGAAGCCGGTGGATGTCGCCTGACATCGCGCGTGTCAATGCGATGTCCACAGAGATGTTGATGTTGCCAGACATGTCGATCAAAGTCTGGCAACGTTGCGCTACTTCACCTGACATTTGTCCCCTAGTATATATATGTATATCCTTGGGTTTAGTAACCTTTTAAACTTGATCAAATATTAAATTTTTCTTTTTTTGTTGTTCAGCCAGTTCCAGGTCTTATGAATATACAATTTAAATACAGCCAATATAATCTTCCAATCCAGAACATAATTATTACAATTATTATGTAGGTACTATCTGCAGCACAACGAAAGGAGACAATCAGTAAAAAAATCGTATCTTAATATAATGAAGAGTCGGTTATAACCACAAGAGTCTCATTACACTTGATGGGGCGACATTATGTGCTAAACGCGTGTACTGACTGTACACAGAACGACACATCAAGCTAAACAATACCATTATAAACTGACCGATGAATGTATGGAAAGATCATACAAACCAAGACCAAGATAAATTAGTTTTGTATAGTTCGGTTTGTAGCCAAATATATGTATTATATGGCGTGTATATATAGAGGCAGGATATCGGAGCATGGCGCCCGCCCGAGTGATATCGATCGCGCCTCGGATCTTACTGCGCAGCCTCCGTACAGCCTCCCTGTTAAGGCCAAGCTTTACACATTGGCGACATAACTAACTTTGTTTCTTGGGTTTGGTCGTAGTTTTCGGAATTTAATGTGACTTATAAAATATAATAGTGCGACTTATTAAAAATTATTATCATGGTGTTTCTTTTCCATATGAACCTGACTAAATAAAGGACTGACATGCTTTTAACTTAGTTTTTCAAAAATGTCTTTTGTGTTTAATAGAAATGACTGAAATGACTCTTTACTTTTTACTTAAACTGTCAAACACCAAGCGGTCACCGGTGACCGCAACCTATTGTTCTATAATTGTGTCTACAAAACCGGTACTCGACGAGTTAAACGTAAAAAAAATATTTTCATCAGGAATAAATTACAAAGAGTTATTATAATTTTATTCTGAGCCTATTTTTCTGAGACAGGAATCATGTGAATACGAATTCTTTAAGTACAATATGGAACTACGACAGGGTCTTGACATGCTTTCAAACACCCAAATATTTTGAACAAGTCCAATGCCCTTAGTCAAACGCTACTGTAGCGCTTGTCTACAGGGAGAGTAAAAATCGAAATGTATGGGGATGACACTGACAAGTGTCAAAATTTACGTCAATTTCATATAATTTAGTTTTCTATTCTACAAGTAGACAAGCGCTAAATGGCATTTGGCTATAGCTGCTGGTCTTAGAAATACTCACCATAGCTATGTTATCTAGGTATCAATCTGACATCATTTGTAAAGAAAAACATGTGAATTGTGGCAGTGAAAGATCAGACGGGATCTTCTCGTAAATACCTCGTAATGTACTGAAATTCAGCTGAAAATAGTTAGATTTATTGGTGAAGCAGCATTCAGTGGTTGAGATCCAGTTTTGTTTTCATTACGTTTCAAGATGGTAATACGAAAAACGGATTGGTGTTTGTTTTGTATTCGGTGAATTTAAGTGTAGGAGTAAGATTAAGGCGTTTAAATCGTGTGTCAAAGTCAAAGTCAAAAATAAAAACAAAGGAGACTTTTGAAAGTCAGTCAATCAAAAATAGCTCGCCTGGCATCTGGCGTCGTTAACAAATAGATTCAAAAGTGTTTTTATGTGCATCAGTGGAAATAAAAGGATTTAATTTGACTGTCAACAAATAATTTGGCTTGTCTGTCCGTCTGTTGTTGTTTAGTGACTGTTTTATAAATGTATTCCCCTTAACTACCGTCCTGACTTCAATCAGCGCTCCCTTCGCAAAGTGAAGTTGTCGCTCTAAACTAAAGTGAATGTATTAAAATGTTACTCTGTGCATACTCATAGTGGGTGGTGTCGTTGTGATATCTCTTATCAATCAGATAATGGTAAGTACTATTATAATGTTTATTAATCATTCAGATTACAGAGAAATTACTATATTTTTGTTATTAGTTTTAAATTCGTTGGGTGACATTCTGAGATACGTCCTACCTAATTCTTTTTTTTATCATTAATTTAATTATAGGGTTGCTAATATTGTGTTGAGAATTTTAGGCGTTGTATTTTATAAGGGATTAAAACTAAAGAGATATGAGACGCAACAAAGGCTTTTGACAGCTTCTCTGTGAAGCTGAAAATGTTACTTTAAAAATATATCTGTATGCACATTATTGTAACAAATTAGTTTATTAATTAGTATAAAAGCTCCTTGTTGCGCCATTTTTATATAATCTTGGGTACGATTTTGCAAAGATTTTGATTATAAAATGAGTCTTAAAAGTTAGCATTCAGAATTGCGTCTTTTTATTATATCAATATACTATGATTGTAGTTCCATTGTGAAATGATATTTTTACAAAACTGTCCCTTATATTATACCTAGCTATATCCAGATGACCTGTATAAAATCCAATACCTAGGCGTGGTATTTATATAGGTCAATTAAACAGACCTAACTTAGATGGAAAGATTTATTACAAATAGGTCAAAATTATTTAGAAATGAGAAAAAGATGATCTTGTTTTGATGAAAGAATAATAATAAAATAATGTCTGAAATCTCATAATGTAATAACCCATTGAAATACTGAAACTAAGGTCTTGCTTAAGGGTAGGTAATGACCGACAAAGCTACCAAAGGCTACCAAAGCTACAGAATTATAAATTATAAATGATTTTATTATTATTCTTCGATAAACTCTACAAGGCTTTACAACTATGCACCTTACCCATCAGATATTAAGACTAATTTCACATTTATTTCATACCTAACTACAATATTTAATGGCTTGTTTAAGCGCCTGGAAACTAATATACACGCTTTCATTTACAATTATAATATGTATTTACTTACTTCTGTATGTACAACGAACATTTCTATTTACTTTCCAGCTTAACTGACTGGGAAAACAGAAAACTAATAAGGTATCTATACTATCTATTTACAATATATATATATATTTATTAAAACCATATATACATAACCATTTAATATATGTAGGTATATATCAGACACAGAACATATTTGCCTGTTCCACCACCTTCATAAGTACTTGATAAAGTTGTGTTTTTTTTATATATATTTGATGAGCCGACGTTGGTAAGCGATGATGCTGTCTACGATGAATCACGTCGTCCCACAAGCGACCTTCGCTCGGGCTTTGAACATACTCAGGTTATATACCCTTCAGGAAATGCAGAGTCTGGCAAAGAATTCCACTCCTTAGTAGTCAGTGGCGTAACTACAGGGTGGCAAGTGAGTAAAATGCCACGGGCCCCTAGCTGGAAGACGCCCCGTTCAGAGGTTTACATCTAAACTTCTCTGTTTTTGATTGGGAACGGGAGTCCTTGAGATGAATTTGCCACAGACCCCGAACGTTGTAGTTACGCCACTGTTAGCAGCTAGTTCATACAAATTATTTTCAATATTCTTTTTCTCATACATAGTGGTCCTTAGGCTAATGACTTGTTTCACAAAACTGAATACAATTTTTTTTGTTTATTAGTTAGAGTAGAATTTTCAATTCTTTTCCTTAGGAAAGGAATGTCTGGAAATGGACAAAACATCTGCCATTTAACGTAACAGTATTTTATAATTACACAATAAATTCAAAGGGGAGAGCCATGCTTCGGCACGAATGGGCCAGCTCGGACGGAGTGATACCACGGCCGAGAAGAAAACAGACGTGAAACAACGCGTACGTTGTGTTTCCTCGTGTGAGTGGGATTATCGGAAGTCCAATCTCTCCAATCTCCAAATCCCCAACAATCCTAAAATTTCTAATCCCCAAAAGGCCGGTAACGCACTTATAATGTCTCTGATGTTTTGGGTGTCCATGGGCGGCACCGATAGCTTACCATCAGGTAATGCGCCATCTCGTTTACCGGCTTATTCCATAAAAATACAATAATATTTATGAAACAAGACCCAGTACAGATTATTTTAAATATTAGAAATTGAATCACACTATGTTTTTAATTGATCTAGCTTTGTAAAACTAGTGCTCAATACAATAATTAATGGCATTGAAATTGAAATGTACCATTCATAAATTCATTCTTAACAATGGTGCTGATCTAATTGAAAACATCATACTAAAATGATATTGTAGTAGCACCAGTCATGATTTCATTTTCATTGTTTAGTCCGTAACCTGACACAATGCCTTGCATAATGCTTAGAAAGATATTACGATAGCTATGTATCATTATTGAGAGTAACTCTTACTCGTGCGGCTTTGCTCGCGTGGTCAAAGGCAGCTTATATCTTTATATCTTCTGCCAGTGGCGTCGCTCGCTTTCCCGTGTGACAAAAACTGGCCTATGTTATTCCAGACAGATATCTACCCTTGACCCAAATTTCATCTTAATCCCTTCAGCCGTTTTGACGTGATGGAGTAACAAACAGACCAACATACAAACTTTCCCATTAATTAGGATCAGTCTCCATCCTCCTAACCATCTCAACATGAAAATCATACTGTACATGTGAAAGAAAGACAAACGAACAAATATATTTTACAAAGAAATAAATGAAGAAAGAAAGATTTTGCCGACCCTAAATAACTTGGGATAAGGGTAGAAAGGAGAATAAAATAAGAAGATATTTTTAAACCTACACATTTCAAAATTAGTTTATCATTCTCATCATTCTTATGTATATCTTACACACATAATGATATTACGTGCACATATAATGATATTACGTGCACACATAATGATATTACGCTCACACATAATGATATTATATGTGTAAGCCTTATGGGTATGTTTCAGCGATTTGTATTCACGTTGCAGGCCAGGATGGAGCTCCCAGTTCTAGACAAGTTCTGCTTCGTGTTCGACCTGAAGACAGGATGCATGGTCATGGGGTTAGCCAATACTGTAAGTATATATGTTAAGAATTTGCTGATTGCGATGACGGCAGAATAGAATTATTTTATTTATATCTACACCCTTATTCTTAAGTAGTCGTAAGAGCCGATTAGTGAAACAAGTGAATTTATTTCTGCAAATAGGCTACAAGGCAGCACTTTTACACGTCAATTTTATCAAGCGAACGATGAGGTCGACATTTCCTAACTGACTAATCTTAAGGTACCATAGGTAACAGAAACAGGGCATCATCGCTCTCTGATAAACCTAAACCTTTTCGGAGTTGCGGAGAACTGCAGGAGAAGAAACGGGATGGTTTTTAGTCAGTAAGAGTCTGACACTCCCTCCCGCCTCACCCAGGCGGGAGCAGTCATTCGATGATTTTCCCCCCTTAAAAAAAAACCTTTTTAACCGCTTGATTGCCGGTATACAATAGACAATCCATGGCATGTGTGAGTTCTCATTTTGGAACACGATTGTTTAAAGTTAATTGGTATATTTATACATTAATACATACAAGGTGACTTGTAACTCGACGTATTCCTCTCGGGAGGTGATAATACAACTAATTTCCTACAATATTAGCCCTGAGGTACCTGGTCCAAAAGTGGCTAGTTTCTGAGATATTCAACGTTTTCGGTTTTGGTGAAAAAATCCCGATCGAACTACAAAACATCAATAACTAAAAATGCACTGAGTTGATTTGAGTGATTTTAGTTGTAATTTGTTGTTAATACATCAATAAACATTTATTAATACTAATACTGGCAGAAATATCATAATATTTTTTTTTAAAATAGCAAGTAAATTAGTATCAAATTTTGTTTTAAATCAATAATTTGGTCAATTCAATCCCCCCAATCTCCCCAATCTTCGAATCCCCAATAATCCTCAAATTCCTAATCCCCAAAAGGCGGGTAACATACTTATATCACATCTGGTGTTTCGGGTTGGTCCATGGGCGACGCCGATTGCTTACCATCAGGTGATCCGTCTGCTCGGTTACCAGCTTATTCCATAAAAAATACATCTAAGTACATTATTTAAGTTTATACTTATGTTTATTTTTTTAACAACACAATCAGATCAATACCCCCTTATTAAAGGTAATACAATAAAGTATTACAGTAAACATCTAGTACGAAAATCAATCATAATATAAATTGAATTAAGTTGATTATCAAATTGATTACGGTATTTGCAGTGTACGTGAAAAGTTGACGCAACGTTTTGTGTTCCAAATATGTTGATGAGATTAGAATGAATTACGTACCTATTCATACTTACTTAGGTATATAAGAATATACCTAGATCTAGAAATTACTAGATCCAGCAAGGGGTTACCCCCTTTGGGCACACAATTTGCCCGTCATTAGTGGGAATACTATAGATAGAATGAATTACGTACCTATTCATACTTACTTACATTACATAACATCACGCCTTTTATCCCCGAAGGGGTAAGCAGAGGTGCACATTATACCACTGTACAATGTAACACCCACCTTTCACTATTTATGTTATGAGTCCCATGTAATAGGGGGTGAGCATATTGCCATATACCGGGCACAATTCCAGACTCCATGCTATTACTGAGAATATTTAAAAACCCAGTAATACTTTGCCCGACCCGGGAATCGAACCCGAGACCCCTTGCCCGGCAGTCGCACTTACGACCACTCGGCCAACGAGGCAGTCTTACTTACTTACGTATATAAGATTATACCTAGATCTAGAAATTACTAGATCCAGCAAGGGGTTACCCCCTTTGGGCACACAATTTGCCCGTCATTAGTGGGAATACTGAATATTGTGCTAATTTAGGGTCGTTGTATGGCAATGGACCCGCAATATAAATATAGCAAAAAGGGACTTACTTAAATCATCATCATCATCATCAACAGCCTATTATGCCCACTGCTGAGCAAAGCCTCTTCTCACACGGAGAAGGTATGAGCATTAATCACCACGCTTGGTCAATGCGGGTTGATGATTACAATCTAGATCACAAATTAGAAATTATAAGCCCAGGTTTGCTCACAATGTTTTCCTTCACCGTTTGTCAGTGGTGTTTAAATAATCTTAGAAAGTACCTACATATAACTCGGAAAAAGTCACATTGGTACTTGCCGTTGGTTGGTTTCGAACCTGTAAGGTAAGTACCCTCATGTATGAGAAGCAGGCGTCTTATACCTCCAGTCTAACATTTGCGTAAATGTATTTTAATATTTAGCGACTAGTTTCTAGCTATATTATGATAAGACTTACTTATATGGTTGTGTCAAGCACCTAGTAGTCAATGTGAACAAATGGCAAAATAATATAATAAAATAATATGACTGCCTTGTTGGCCGAGTGGTCATAACTTGTGAAAAATAATAGGTACCCAGCAATCGCACTTATGAGTCATAAGTGCGATTGTTGGGCAAGGGGTCGCAGGTTCGATTCCCGGATCGGGCAAAGTATTACAGGTTTTTTTAATTATCAGTAGTAGCACGGAGTCTGAAATTGTGCCTGGTATATGGCAATAGGCTCACCCCCTATCACATGGGACTTTATAACAACGTGAAAAGTGGGTGTTACATTGTACAGTGGCGTTAAGTGCCATAATATGCACCTGCCTACCCCTTCGGGGATAAAAGGCGTGATGTTATGATGTAATGTATATCATTATACACCGTCCCAACTAACTATTTATCATGCAAAAAGCAGACAATAAAGTTTCTCGTTCATGACGAGATAGAAAACGAACCCACTGTTGGATTTAAATCATTAAGCAAGGATTGACTGAACCCTTCCTGTCTTCCAGATCATAACCTTTGTCCTGACGCTGCTCCTCATCACGTTTGCGGTGAACATCAAGGACATATCGGAGGCGCAGATGAAGAGGGACGATGTAGAGTATGCCATGTCTTCCGTGGTGTACACCATCGTGGTCCTCCTCATCGTCCTGCTCGTGGTCAAGTTCCTTTTGGACGTGGTCTTCGTGTACGCGGTTTATAAGGTAAGGGCACTGACCTGGATGGTCAGTATTGCTGACTGGTTTACTAGCAAATCTATAAGAGACTTATGAGAAAGTACTAAAACAATAACACTTCATTTGAACTCCCTAACTAATATCTGGAGCTACGGCCAACTTAACAGGTTACCGGGGCTCTGGTGCAAAGCAGGAATAGGAACGGGGTGGTTTTTAGTCAGTAAGAGTCTGACACTCCCTCTTACCTCTCCCAAGGCGGGAGAAGTGGTTGGATGATTTTTCCCCCTTAAAATAAAAATTAAAGTTTACAGAACCGTTGGTTTTTATATTCGTATGGAGTGTGGGAGAGCCATGCTTCGGCACGAATGGGCCGGCTCGACCGAAGTGATACCACAGCGTCACAGAAAATCGACGTGAAACAACACTTACGTTGTGTTTCGTCGTGTGAGTGAGGTTACCGGAGGCCCAATGACCGTGTGTCCCTAGTCTCCGTCTCTCGAATCCCCGGATCCTCCACAATCCTCAAATTCCCAATTCCCAAAAGGCCAGTAACGCACTTGTAACGCCTTGGTGTTTCGAGTATCCATGGGCAGTGCCGATTGCTTACCATCAGGTGATCGGTCTGCTCGATTACCGACTTTGCTATAAAAAAAAGTATTTTTGACCTAGTCTGAGGATTTTTCAAGAAAAAAGGAGGTTGATTATGATATCAATAACACGTCAGTCCTGCTGATTTCTTAATGTTTTATCAATAATCTTACTATACATAAAATTATAATAAAATCGTAGAAAAATCAAAACTGTACATTGAGTATTTAAAAAAAAACATACTTGAGGCGTTACTCACAATCGATACCGAAGCCCAAAATATAGTTTTTAGAATTTTTGTCTGTTTGTCTGTCTGTATGTATGTCCGGGATGATCTCCAAAAATACTGCATGGAACTTAAAATTTTGCATGAATATTACTAACAGGTCGGGTCAACATATCATCACGCTATCATCTATGGTGGAGGAGCTATGAATCACAATACCACGCGAACGAAGTCGCGGGCAACAGCTAATCCTATATAAAAGCTGCCCGAGGCATTCCTAGGTAACGGCCAACACGACAAAATTATTGTTTAAGTTATGTTTGATTTCAGGAAAAATGCAGCCTCCTGAAGAAGTACTGCATCTTCTGGATAATATTCCTGGTCCTATACATCATTGGTTTCTTGAAGACCCTGTTCCACATGGACGCTGGCCACGTTATCTCGCAGATAATCTTTATAGGTAAGTTGAAGAAAGTTACCACTAAAGAAAATATCCACATTCTCTATATATGCACAAAATATATATTTTGTAATGTGGAAATATTTTTTGCTATGTTATATGTCAATAACGTCATTCAACTAGCTACTGTCCGCGACTTTCAAGATTTTTTTATATCATAAGAACCTTCTCCTGACAATAACACAACAAAAAAAAACTGGCCAAATCGGTCCAGCTAGCCATTCTCAAGTTATGGTGTGACAACGGGAAACGGGTTTCATTTTTATATATAGGTATATATATTAATTAAATAATAATGGTTGAGACCAAAGTTCTTGGTTTAATTAATTACAATATAATGATGATTGTTAAGTAGGTTTCTGTGAACATTTGTAATAGGTTTATTATTCTTCCTGGATAAATATCTTCTCAATTCAAGGAGGTGTTATTTACGCAAATGGGATTTACTAAAGTACTGAATAAATTATTGAAAAGTTTCCCTCTTCTAATTTTTCAGCTGAAAACTTCTACTTCATCGTGGTGACAAGGAGCTATTTGATATCAATAAACGAAGACGGTGTCCTGTAAATAGTTCCTTTTATTATTAACAATTTTCAAACACATACGTCTCTGTCCTACAAAAACAAAAAAAAACAACCTGGATGCAAGAATTCCAAAAATCATAATTTGGAAAATATAATATTTTTATTTATTTATCATAAATATATACGTAAAGAGATGCATGTAACTTACCTTACTGATTTTGTAAGGTTCGAATAGATTTTTAGGAAAAATATCCTTTAATAATATATGTAACCGAGTTTAGCAAATTGTACCGATAGATGGCGATCTAACGCATAGGAAATCAATGTGTAAACTTGTATCGAATAGATTGTTGTTATATATACATCTAGATAGAATTATACATATCAAGGATTATCTTTCTCTCTCCGTATTTTTGTTTATAAAAATTGCAATTCAAAAGTCAAAATTAATTAATCAGAAGATAGAAGAAAGTAAGAAGGAATGCAAAGATTATAAAGTAACATCTGAATATTGATTATGAACGAAAGGAAACAAAGTCAACGGACCAAAGTATACAGAAGTTCTGTATAATCATCATCATCTTCAACAATATATATTATATATATATTTTACTTTATAAATATATTGCAATAAATGATGATATAAGAAGTCAACAGATAAACTAGATCGAAATGACTCAATGTTGTTTTCGTGTAATGAAAAATTGTTATGCCGTGAATTGTTAAGTTACATGTTGCTATTTGATGTTGTTTGTATACTTTGTTAAACGTTTATATAAAACTCATAATTAATTAATTATTATTATATTCATTTATGTATAAAAAACCATCGTTAAAATAAAATATAAAGAAGTATATAGAGCTCCTAGTCAAAAAATTAAATTATTGATTTTACACAACATTACCAAATACTTATACCTAATCAAATATTCCTAAATAATTCGTCCCAATCTAATTGGATGTTTTTAACTATTTATATAATTTTGAAAGTGAAATAAAACAGTTGTATCGATTTAATTTTGGATTGGGAGTTTATACATTATGAAGTACTTATATATTTCGTGTTGTATAATTATTATATATTTATAGTTTATTCTGGTTGTGATGAACTTCCGCTAAATCGTTTTTATGTGTATACTGGAATTGTATAAATGTATAGTAAAACGTTGTTTTATATCATTTTGATATGAAGATTTGTCTTCCATTTAGTAGATTTAAGTGATCTTCATTTGTTGTGAAGTTTGGGATTATATTATGTGTTAAGGCTTGATTCGGTTGTTGGCGAGAACTTTTTAATAATATATTATATTCGTATGTATAGGCGTTAATTGTCTTGATATCATACCTATTGATTATATTTATACAAATATGTTTTCTATCTATAAAAATTTGGGCCTGCATTTTTATATATAAAAGAGCAAAATAAATTTCCACATGTCCAATCTCGCCAACAACCGACTTACGATGTTCGTATATAACTTTCCTTCAAATATAAACTTTATAGGACTTGAATAGCTCTCAATTTCCTAAAACACAATATTATAACGCGGTTAAATACTTAATATAACATATTTTACAACAGGTTCCGAATGATTTATTATTTAGACAAGTTTCTTCGTTAACATAAACTATAATTTTTGGAACCATATTTAACTTGAATATTATTACTTTTTATTGAAATTTTGAATAACAACTGATATTCATATATTATACGTATACTCTATTTATAAATCTACTCAAAATATATTTGATATAATTTACGTAATTTGGACATATATTACGGGAATAGGGTTTCGAAGAAAATGGAGCTTATCAATTTTATATTGCACGTGAAAACATATATATGCGTATCATTGCACTTTAAAGTTGTATTTATTTTAAGAAAGGGCGTTCAACTACAGATTACGGTCTCGAGAGATGACAACAATAATTAAATACCGAAGCTATATCAGAGGGTCACCGGTTACAGCAAAATTGATAGTTAAACAGACACTGATCTGACCTTAAAGCGTATTGTTTTATCTCATATAGTGACTATCAATAATAAGTTAGAGTCTCACGCCGATATTTATCTATTAGTGGGATCGCGGTGAAAATAAATAATACAATATATTGCTGACTACTATTGCTTCGATATTGGTAGCTTCGATATTGTTACTAGCTAAGCTAATCAATTTTTTTTTTATATATTTGCTAGCCGACGTTTGACCACTATATTGTCTGGTGGCAAGCGATTAAATAAAATCTATAAATGATAATTACACCTAAATATTAAATAGAGGTAAATTAAATCTATTGGTCTATACTAAAGTTGATCTGCGACCTAGTAATCAGAAATGTCTCTGAATGTGCGATCCGGCTCTGAAAGAGTCTAATTGTTTCATTAACTTATGTATCCGAATCGTCCTTAAGATAAAGCATTATAAACGTGTTTATTAACAAATTAAATACACAGGTGACCCTTTGAAACTATCTCGAGACCACACAAATAATTTAAAATATGTATCATTATCTATTGTTTTCATTTTAATATATACAATTTATATATTGGTGTATATTATATATATTTAAACAACGATTCTTAATCTCTCTGTGTGGGTCCCCTTATGTGTAATAATAGGTTAGTGGGCGATCCAATATATTGGTGTAATTATTAGCTGTGATTGTTCTAGTGTCCATGAACGCCGTGATTATAAATGATGGGAACATGTTCATTGGTTGTTAACATACTGTGCAGTACTGTAGTATACAATACATAATATGCAGAAGTGTGTACAGGATGAAATTTAAACACAGTTTTCGGAGTTCCGAACGGACGATAACTCAGATATGTGACAGATTAACTGATGACTGCCTCGTTGGCCGAGTGGTCGCAAGTGCGACTGCCGGGCTAAGGGTCTCGGGTTCAATTCCTTGGTCGGGAAAAGTATTACTGGGTTTTTATAAATTCTCAGTAGTAGCACGGCGTCTGGAATTGTGCCTGGTATATGGCAATAGGCTTACCCCCTATTATATGGGACTTATAACATAAATAGTGAAAAGTGGGTATTACATTGTATGTACCTACAGTGGCATAATGTGCACCTCTGCGTACCCCTTCGGTGATAAAAGGCGTGATGTTATGTTATGTTACTGATTACTATCACTCATGTAAGTTATAGTAATCGATATTTATTGAAAACATATCTGGTTTTACAGCAATAGCAATTCCAATCTGCTTGGAATTGATTTATATGTGTAATGAATATTTAATTAACATCAAATTTGTTTCACGGCCTGAGTCATCACGAAATAGTATTCGTAAATAAATTTACATCCTGTACATATCACGAAAACCACATTTCATGAAAAATACATTATATATATATACATAATATAATACCATATCATTTATTGTATTTTAAATACAATAAAATACAGGAACAATGGATATCAAGTTTTTTAATTAAAATTATATCATTTGACTGACCATATGAAGTACTGAGTTTAAAAATGTGACTATAATAATCTGATTTCATGGAATATTACCCAAATATTGCTTAGATCTGTATAAATTAGATAAATGGATGTGTATTAAATGTGTGTAGGTACCAAATAAACTAAATAACGACAATAATACGTCCTTCGCTTTAATTAGCTAATAGAATATTGTATTCCTGTCTGTACCTGTCCACTGTTGGGAAGCAAATAGATGTATACAGTTCTTACATATGTTATATATAATATATACAAGTAATTACTTTATATAATGACATATTTTTTCTAGATTTGATATAAAATGTTCTTATGTTAGCTATTATATTATAATTTTAGTTAATCGTGAAATTGGTTTTATGTATACAATTACGTTAAATTAAAATTAATTGTGATGATTTCAGACAATATATTTAAAAAGATTTTTGCGGTATATATAATTTAAAATCTATTTGCTTCACCTAAAATCTAAAAATATGAGAATCCCCTGAACATTGGTCATTATTACCTAAAAATTGCAGGCTACTTATGTGAAAATACTGAAAAGGGGTAGATTGCGTGACATCGCTGATACCGTGCACGCTGTCTATGGACATTCCTTATGAGGAAGAGCCCAGCCCCTCTGTGGCTCCAAAATAGTTGCGCTTTTCTCAGTATTTTCACGTGAGTAGCCCGTGATTTTTAGTTAATTTAATATGTCTTACGATAGTCATTATAAAAATTGGTCATTATTTTTAGTAAACTGTCAGTCTTACAGAATTGAGGAGTATATGTAAAAGGGTTTTCTTATATTTTATACTAAATCTTTATAATATTTACCTACATATTGTAACTTGTACTTCCCCTTTACAGTGTACTCTAATTATTTGTTAGAAACATTTTATAATAAATGTATATTATTATTGTATAGTGTGGGCTTACTCATATTGGACCTAATTAATTATTATTTACAATGTTGAATTTTTAATTATATTTGATAATGGGATGGACCTGCTGGTTAAATAGAAATAATTTTAGTAAATATGTTTAAATACGATTTATAATATGTATTGTATTACTAACTGTGTGACTGCATGGTTGGTGCGGTCGTTGGGCAACTGGCTGCCGCTCAACATGCCGCGGGTTCGATTCCCGCATGGACCAACTGTTTGTGTGATCCACAGATTATTGTTCCGGGTCTGGTGGTCTGGTGTCATGTGTATCTGAACTTGTATGTTTGTAAACGCACCCACGACACAGGAGACAACCCTAGTATTGGGCTACGATTTTTAAAAATAAAAAAAAACAACAACATTAAGGAGCATTAAACTCCATGGTGACTTTAAAAATAACAACATTGTCGTGGCAGATTGTCTATTTGTTTCTACTTTCATTATAATTTACTTCAATTATATTGTGATTCTTGTATACATATTAAACATTATTGTATTTAAACTCACTAGAATATAATAAATGTTTTAGAAATTCTTAAATATGAGTCCATTTCTGTCTGATATGAAGAGGCCCACATGTTTCAATGTTTGCACAACTATTGATCAATTATAAACGCTTTAAATGTTGTACCAATTATTTACAATGTGGATTGAATTTAATTTTATAGAAAATTTTGATGTTTGTGATCGTTGTACAACGCTTTGTTAAATGCATTGAGTATTTAAAAATAAATGAGAAGTTATAGCTATGTTGAGTTTGTATTTATTTATTTTCCTCTTGTACTGTGGTTATGTAAGTGATCGTATTTTATATATAAAATACGTTTAGACAATCGCATTATATTACACAAATTACCTTACTGACGTAAAAGTTTAAGATATATCTATATATATACACAAAAGACGCACTACATAATATTAATTACCTTTATTGACGTGAAAATAACAGATGAACGTCTTTCGCATCGTGTTTATAGTAAATTATTTTTCTCTAAATAAAACAACAAAACCATAGCAAAGTTTCTTTTTTATTTTGTACATCTTTTATACTTTTGATCTCACAATAAGGCTGCCTTAGTTACTATGGTGAATAGTCAATATTATTATAAAATTAAGCGTTTCATATTCAATTTACATTTAAAATAAAGCTATTTAATAAAACTCTTGGTATAAGCACTTAAAAATGTATGAAACTTTACCTTTCTTTAGATCAAACAATAAGTAATAAGAAAAAAAATAATTATTACTTCTCATAAAAAGTCTTTCAACTATCCCACAAAGCTCACTGATTACGTAACACCAAATAATGATAAATAAACAAACGAACGTAGCTGTTGAATAATAATATATAGTTACACTGACAATTTTCCCATTTTAACTACAAAATATATATCATATAATACAACATCGAAGGCACATAGCTTATATTATATTTATATGTATAACTTTAAGTACATCATAGAAATTATACTCAAAATATTAAAAAACTAAAATAACACTTTTTATACACATTACCAGCCTCCACAATCTAGATTTGGCTAAGGTGCTCTAAGTAAAAATGGAAAACTTAATATATGGGATTGCTCAGTAAAATTGTGGGAGAGCCATGCTTCGGCACGAATGGGCCGGCTCGACCGGAGTGATACCACGATCTCACTGAAAACCGACGTGAAACCGTTGTTTCGTCGTGTGTGTTCCCCAATCTCACCAATCCCTGTATCTCCATAATCCTCAAATTCGTCATCCCCAAAAGGCCGGTAACGCACTTCTAACGCCTCTTGTGTTCCAAGTATCCATGGGCTACGCCGATTACTTACCATCAGTTGATCCGTCCGCTCGTTTACTGGCATATACGAAAAATATATTTGTGCCAAAATTTCCTAATTTCCAATTCCTAACAGCTTAAAGGTTAGCAACGTACTTCCCAACGAAGACAGTGAACACGACCATCAGAAATAACCAATGAGGATAAGACGTAAGAGGAGAATCCTAATAACAAACGAATAGCACTATAAATAAACATTAAATATTCCAACAATATGCATTTGTTTTCTTATGTGCCATAAATATCATAACCTATGTTCTTTGGTTTTCCCATGAGGAATAATTAAAATTAATCTTTATAAAGTTATTTTTTACCTAATTAAAATATATACCTTACTTAAATGAATATACTATGAATATAAATATAATTGTTTTTTCCTTGTTTTAAAAACGTGATCGACTATGCGATATCTATATTATACAGGGTGTGAACGTTTCCGAAAATGCAAACAAAAAAATTGTAGAAGGCATATATAATTTTTTACTAGTTTTTTACCATACCTTTCTTCGTTTTTTCGAAGTGTTCCATTTACACCCCGTATCCTTAGAAAGGTTGCAAAACTGAATACTAAGTAAGTGTTTTTTTTATTAATATCTCTGTTATATAAAAATGGTTTTCCAATTTCTCAAGTTCACGACTTTACTAATGAACTATGTATTTGTTATGGCCAGGAAAAACAGATTTTCCTACAAAAAAACTTGGAAAATTCACAAGGAAAATCCGATTTAGGTAGCTATGTACCTGAGAAGAGTGAGTGGTACATACTTGGGTAAAGCTAGGACGGATTGCTAGCTTGTTATAAATTGTTATTTACCTATTTTTTACTGTTACAGAAAAACTTGGAAAATTCACTAGGAAAATTGTAATGCTCTTAAGTGCTAATTGCACTCAAGTAATTCCGGGACGAATTAGACATCTATGACAAGGATTGGCCGCAAAAAGCTTTACATAGAGAGGAGTGGAAGGAGGGTAGGGAGGCCTTTGCCCTGCAGTGGGACGATCATGGCTGAAAATAAATAAATAAATAAAATTCTGGGATGGCTCGATAGTCTTCACAGTTTTAAAAAACACATTCTATGTCAATATATTGATGTCAAAATAGTTTTACGTGCTCGCCTGGTCCAGGTATCTATTTCTAGCTAGCATTGCCAGAAACCAATAAAAATATTTTATTATATTTCTGTAATTGTTGTCCTTATGAGTTATCTAATACATCAACCTATATTTTTTAAGTTATCGTTATGAAAGAGAACAAAATAATATCTACTACCCTTTAATATTTTGTAGCAGTTGTTTCGTTACAAATGTTTTAGAAATAAGTTTCGGCTGATACGAATCAAAGATAGCTAGGGAAATAGCTTTACGATCATTTGGCATGCAAACATAAGTAAACTAGACTTTAGTACGGGACTAGAGAAAGTTCCGTACTAGGTCACAGGCTGGCTTTTCCAACTTTCATCAAGACTAGATTTCTAGGAAATAAAACGTGACAATTTTATAACAGAGTTTGAGACTACAGTAACATATATTCAATTCAATAACATATATATATACTGTATAACTGTATGTATATTCTGTATATGTATCATCTGTACCAAGGGAATCAACATCGTTTCGTTAGAATTGGGACTGATTTAAAATTATATATGATCTTGATTATGAATGGTATATTATACAGAATTTGGTCAAAGTAATAACTTAAGCCTGCTATTCGTTTATAATATCTGGTTAAAGTGATTAATTTGTCACATTGACCAAGCAATTTTTTATTATGCACTAGCAGCCCATCTCGGCTTCGCACGGGGTAGACAATATTGTTGTACATTATTTTGTTCTATCGCTAATAGTTTCGGCAGCGCATTCGACGAAAGACATTTTAAGACTCATTTTTCTACACCTTCGGTTACATTGTTCAAGATCAGTCATTATGTATAATATCTAAGTAATCAGTTTGGCTGTAACATAGCTTCTTATAAAACGAGCAACCGATTAACTTTACACAGGTAGTAATGGAGCGCTTCCGAAAACAAAAAAACAAGTAAAAATACAATTTGAATCGTTTTTTGTACTCGTTTAATTATTACATAAAAGAAACATTGAATTCCTTACTTTTCAACCGGCTTCAAAAAAAGGAGGAGGTTCTCAATCCGACTGTATGTTTTTTTTAAATTAAATCTTGTTTTTACTATTTCTTTTTGTTTTTTGGAAGCGTTAAGTTTATACCGTATAGTTTATACATCTATACTAGCGGATCCGACAGACGTTGTCCTGCATCCACTTGAATGTATAAACGAAAATTCATTCAAATTAGTTCAGCCGTTTAGGATAAATAACCTAGACACCGATTGCAGCGTCATCTGCCGGGCTGATTTGTGAATCTAAACCATCCAGGGCGCCACACAAACGCGTACAGAAAAATTCATTTACATCGGTCAAGCCGTTTAGGAGGAGGAGTTCAATGACATACACACGTACAGCAGAATTATATATATAAAGATATAGTTTAATTTTCTTATAAGTATGTGTTATATACTTAAATACTTACATATATATTCATTTCAGGAACATTACACCAAAAATAAAAAAGTTTGTCAAGGTATCGTGCTGTAAAAATTGGACTCGGTACTCGGTCACTTTCCAAAATAGCACGGAACCCATGATTAATAAATCTGGCTCTCAATCAGCCAGTTTTAAAATGTACATGACTACATTCTTTCCATGACCGTACTCGAAACTTCACTTAAAGATAATTACACATCATAATTATGATTGCAAAGTACTTATTTACTTTATGAAACTTATTAGTTCGGATGGTAATTTAAAAAAGTAGCAGCTTGTTTGAGATGTTCCTTATTGACGAACATTGAAAATTGTGCAGTAATTTTTGAGTAGCTTCGCAACATATCGATATACACAGTTAGTATTTATTGTGTGTGAGGTACTCAGTACGGCCAGAAGACAGAAACCAGCACATTACTGATAAACTGCAATAAAATACCGAATTTATTACAAAACTATAAAGTTGATTATGTATAAAATACTATTGAAAAATTTGTTTCGTTTAATGTACTGGTATCTGTTCTTGATATAAATAAAGTAGTCAACAAATAAAGTGGCTAGTCCAGCCATTTTTTTCATATGGGAATGGCACTCTCTCCATAAGTCATCTTCATGATCCTGTAGAGGCTGTTGATCATCGCCAGGTAATATATGGAGTACACTGGAAAAGAAAAATAGTATATAAAACAGCTAAAAGATACCTATGATGACCTGATGTATATTCCCTCATCCCAAAAGGCCAGGAACGCACTTGAACGGTTTCCAGCATCGTATATACATATCTATAGGCAGCGCTGACTTCGTATTATAAGGTAAACTCATCGGTACGTCTAGCTCCTATTCTATAAAAAAAATCATCAACTGGGTATAATAATGGAACTTAATATAAATACGGCCACGTTGTCCGAGTGGTAGCAATTACGACTCGGCCGGGCAAGGGGTATCGGGTATGATTCTCGGGTCAAAAAAAGTATAACTGGGTTTTTTAAAAAAAATCTCAGTCGTAGCAGGAGTCTGGAAATGTGCCCGGTATATGGCAATAGGCTTATCCCTATTACATGGGACTAATAACATAAATAGTGAAAATGGGTGTTACATTGTACAGTGGCATTAAGTGCCGTAATGTGCACCTCTTCAAGGATGAAAGGCGTGATGTTATGTTATGTTATAAATACGTCTCTGACATCTTCAGAAGCTACAAAGTTATCCGCAATGACAATACTTACTAGCTCCAGCTATCAACAGCAACACAACCAGCACTATGTGACCTGGCACCTTGAGGAAGTCGTCCAGCCTGAAGAGACAGGTCACGATGGCCACCAGGAATATGCAGAATATGAACACTGAGTTGAACACCAGCGACCACTGCAGCTTGGATGGATGTTTCTGGAAACACAGAATTAAATGACGGCACGGTTGTCGTGCTGGGCAACCAGCTGCCGTGAACATGGCACTAATTCGATACCCACACGGAACAACTCTTTGTGTGATCCACAAATTGTTGTTCCCGGTCTGGGTGTCATGTTTATGTGAACTTGTATGTTTGTAAAACTGACAAGTGTGGGGCAACGTTTATTAAAAATATGGCTAACAAACTCCTATCAGTGACTTTGCTAGTGTAATTTTAAACACTGTTATCTATCTGAGCCTTTTGCTCAGATTTGTTGAGTAGTTTTCGGGGGGAAAAGTTATAAATATGCATATATCTGTACATTAATATTAAGGGAAAATTTATTTGTATAGATTTTAGCATTGGTTTAAGTCCTTCTTTGTTACGATGGTGTATAACTGCGCGTGGTGACGGCAGGCGTTTGTCCCGATTCCCAATTCCGCTAGTGTCGTAAGAATTGATTATAGGGCTTGCACACAAAACTGCGATGCGATGCGAATTCGCAATGCAAAAAATTACGATCCGGTGACCATTCTATCGACGACCGTCAACCGTACTAAACGTATTTTAAATTGAAAACTAGGTCGTGACATGGATCATAAAAAGAAGTGTGCACTTCTGTTATTGCTTAGGAGATACAGGAAAAAGAAACAGAAGATTCTGGGAATATAAGATTGTGATGCGCGATGCGAATCAATTCGCAAGTTCTTGCGATGCGTAGAGGGAGCTCGCACATTTTTTAGTTGTATGGAGGTATTGGCAAAATTTTTCTTAACCCACAGATTTTGGATTGAGGTAAGTTACCAATTTTGACCGGAAGACTTGTATCTTTTTAACAACATCTTAAACCGACAGGTGTGAAAATTAAGAAGAAAAGGAAGTCTTTTTAAAATGCTTTTGTCCATAGACTTTTACGAGCTGTTACTTACCAATATAATACCGAACAGGGCTATGAGGTTGCTGATGGCTGACAGGGTGGAGAACATCACCATGCTCATGGAGATAAGGTTGTCTTCTGGTTCCCTCTCTCTGTGGCGAGGTAAGTTCCATGCTCCCGCCGTGATGTTAGCCGCGCACGCCATCTGAAGATACGTAGTCAAGGGTAGTAAGCACAACATAATGAAAGGTATGAAGAATATTATTCTACTTAAGAACCCTTAGATTAAAATTAATTGGACTCAGCCTTCAAGTTAGTAGCTAGAAGTGACTATAAATCGTGATAAAGAAAAGTAAATGAGCCATTATGCATGTAGCATTTGAATAGCGAAGACAATTCACTTCCAAATTATAATATTTAACTTTTCCTCAGTTCTGTTGTGGAAAATTTTACTTATAAAGTCATTTTTGTCTTACAGCTAAATACGCTTGATAGAGTGAGGTATTCCTCGTAGCACTCCCGTTTAAAAGCGCGCCCATCTAAGCGCTCCCGTTTTATTCCTCGTTTACGCTCCTAGAAGGAGCGCTCCGAGGAACTATTAAAAATATTGAAATTTATTTCCTCGAAGCGCTCCTAAGTTCAAAAATAGGGCAAAGCATGAAGTTAAAGTAATGAATTATATCGATAATTTTTAAAAACTCATCCGTGCTTCATCGACATCGAGTTGCTTAACCAAATTACGAAATTGCGAGAATATATCTTTTTACTTTCGGCACTCTTATGTGTGTATACAAGGACCAATGTTATTGTTTTGTGAATTCAAAGGGGATGTTATAAATAAAACATTCAGGTGCGCGGGGAGGGGGTTAGAATGGGAAACATAATGGAGAGAAATCATGTTTATGGATTGGAATATTCCAGCTTTAATACAAAGCTATTTAGTCTAAGACACAGAACCCTTGTCGTCGTAACCATTAATCGGACAGTTACGAAACTAACGATCTCAATAACATCTTGCGACGAAACGAGATCTGATTATTTAATGATTTGGTAACATTTATCAAGGAAAAAAATTGATAGGTACATCTATAAACTTCAGCTAGTAGAAACATAGTAGTGTGAATGATCAAAAAGGGTTATTGAACCGATTAACCTATATTTGTAAATAAACTGAATGTAGGTAAGGTACCCGTAAAAGTCACGAGTAAATGGGTCCTCAATTAAATCCCACAGTCAGATTCCATTTTGTTGAGATCATAACATTATTCTCAATGTAACTTCGACTAAATTGGTAATTGTGTTGGAAGCTTGCAAGCGTGATTAAATAACGGTAGTCTTGTCCTTACGGGGGTTTCAACTGAATCTGAAGCCGAACTATTCTAGTTTTTGTAGAAATCACACTGATACTTTGGTTCGTCAGTAGACATATGAAAATGAAATCCTATCATCGACTGAAATCGTGACTGTAATCAAAACTTAACGATCCGCTGTCACAGGTTGTAAACTATGTGGACACTTACGTGAATTTTCATATATATTATTTTCTTTTTAACTAATATTTAAAGATCTTGCAATTTAACGATTTTTCTGCACTCTGTGTTAATGCTTTGTCGAGTTCCGTGTCTAACTTAGAACATAATTTTAATCAGTAGATCGTATTAATTATACAAGTCAGTAACAACATATTATGTATGCTTTTGTTCCATATCTGTAGGTAACTTAATACGTGATGAGCATTTAGCAATGACATCGCAATGTTGATAAATCAATGAATCATGTATTGTGTGCGTAGCAAACAGAGAAAATCATTGTCCCTATGTAAATACTTTGTTTATTATAATATGTATATTTGTGTATGTTGCAGTTTAAAGTGCAAACGGGATTACTAAATGAACATGTACGGTTTTTCCAATTTATTTTTATTTCTGGACTTTCAGAGAGTATTTACTTCATAGTTTTAATATATTGACGTGTTATGTTAGAAGCGTATTATCAGAAATGAATACACAATTATTCATTAACAGCCTATTAGTGCCCATTGCGGAACCAAACCTCTTTTCAAACGAAGTAAATGTATGAGCAATCACCCCGTTTGCAACAAAAATGAATAATAATGAGTACGTAATTCAATTTTAATAGAATATGATTACAGTCACTTTTCTAATCAAAGCTTTAATGCAACCAATTCATATTATTACCAACTTAACACACTTTTCATACGAATCATGAACATAAATAATATTTAGTAGTTATTATCGTATCTGTTTGACAGCACTCTCAGAAACCAGACCACTCTCAATGCTAGCATGTAAAGCTACTTCACATTGGTGAAATCATTTGTTACATTCTCAACTTTAATATTAGAAAATAAGGATGAAAATGGATTAAAGAAATTGGGCATAATGGGGTGGCTTGACTTGCTATTGAGTTGTACGTAAATAGCACTCACTAATAAATATGAGTGACATGGGTAGCGGTAAAATATAAAACGTGAGCTAGATAATTAGAGCAAGGTCTAATTTACAGTGACAGGAGTATTTTAGAGTTAGAAATGCTTTGCTAGCAACTGATTAAAAGTGAAATGTTTGAAGAGGTTGGAAAAGAATGCTAATATGAAATGCTGGAATTATTTATAAAATATGGTTTTTAGATAAATATCGGGATGTATTTTGACGTGAATTAAATTTAGTTTTTGTTAAGTAGAAGACCTCTTTCCGATACGGATAGCGCTGAAGCTGCTGATGCCTAAGCTCGTGCAGCAACAATGAAGACTATAGAAGCAATTAAATTAAATTGCTTTTCCTTATAACAGTTGTAGTCCTCAGTACCTATTTACTTTACAAAACTTCCTCATGACACACTTAAAAGTAAGGTACTGAGTAAAATTACGGGAAAAAGCTAATATAATAGGTAAGTACTTCATAGTTACAAATACAGACAAACAAACTCCTATATTATTCACTAAGTATGAGTATTGTCCAGAAACTTGCGATCATTACGTGTCTCTGACGTAAGTGATGACGTCAGAAGTGTAACGGGGAGGGGCGTAAACAAAATAATATGATTATATTTGGGAGCGTCTCATAACGGCGGGGCTGGCGGCATATTAATCACACAGTCAAAGTTTTATTAGATTGCTTAGTTTGGCCGGATTACTACTTTCATGGTTGATGGATGAGAGCTTTGTCAGTGATAGGAGACAGTTGTGATGAGTCTGCTTTTACAGTCAGAGTCAAAGAATTGGTGTCGATTATAGAAAGGATGATTCCTTTACCGCGTTAGCGCTTTGACGCTGATTAAAAAATGTAAAGCCACAAATGGCTGCTGAAGAACTAGCCCTGGTCTAATATCTAATCTATGTAAATCTCAATAGGGTAGATGACTAATTTTTATTTTAAGGTCGTTTGGTAGATTATTTAATAATTTTTATTTTTTTTACGGAAACGAATAGTTTCGAAGATATATTGAATAGAAATGTCGCGTGACGTCACTTCTATGTACATTTTATACTTAGAAATGACGTTTTAGCCCCCACTCCTAAACTTTGATTCGTTATATCTAAGTATCATTTTATTATACAACAAAATACGTGTCTAATATTTTTTCATTACCTAACTGACGGACTAATTACATTTTTAATTCTCATACCCTGTCATCATCCCTATTATGGTGAAAGAATATTAATCTGCGTAACTTTAGAGTAATGAAATGAGATGAAATTATATTTATTTCTGCAAATAGGTCACAGAGTACCATATTTACACGTCAAAAAGCAAAAGTAATCCGTGCCGTCATGTGTTATGACTTAGTTATGAGTAAGAAACATACAAAACCGCAAAACCAATTAGAACTTTAATTAAATAATTAATAATGGGATTGTACTTACTGTGGACATTATACATAGAACGAAGCAGCCTGTGCGCAGGGAAATGCAGCCGCAACATTTCCTTAGCAACGGCAGAGGCATTTCGGAGCTGGAAACAAACAGAGTTCTCACATAAGCATTCAATCTACATACACATACCTACATATAAAAGAAAGTCTTGTTTATTATATATTCACTATTTATAACTCAAGAACGGATAAATCGATTTGGATGAAAATTGGTGGAGAGGTAGCTTAGAACCAGGAGACGGACATAGAATACTTTTCTTCGAATGTTTTTTTGTACTTTTTACTGAAAATCACGACCGGGAACGAGTAGCTAGTGACACATAAAAATAAGTGCAGACAGTGGCATTAAGTGCCGAAATGTGCACCTCTGCCTACCCCTTCGGGGATAAAAAGGCGTGATGTTATGTTATGTAGTTTATATTAGTATTAATATTTATTTCTGTAAAGTACAGTATATATACATCGGTGCAGTAGAAAGATAATGCTACAATTTCTGTACAGTGCTGTAATTGTACATAGGTAGCTCTCCGATTCCCAAACTGATTCAAAGTTTTAGCGTATTTCGGGATTCCGCGGTTCTCTGCTCTTATTGTTGTATTACTAATATTATACAACAATTGATGTGTTACACTACCTATACTCATTCACAATAGATTAGGTATTTTGAACATTTAAATCAATATTTGTGTGCTATTAAATGCATTTCATTTAACAATAATTAATCTCTCTGTTTCCTCATTCCTCAATTCATGTTTTCTATATTAAGTTGTATGTATCTAATCCATATACCTATAGAAATTAGATAGGCCGGTAAACGCGCAGTCGATTCACCTGATGGTAAGTAATCGGCGCCGCCCATCATCAGGGTGTTGCCGGTCTTTTTATGTATTCTTTGAGTAAAATTTTCTATCAAAAGTATTAAGAGTACTTCCTCTTCAGGTGGCATTACAAAATTCCACCCTGTATATGCGACTTTATTTTCGAAAATCGAATTACAAAAATTGACACATTTGATTGGAGTAGGTTTATGCGTTGGGCACTGTATCTAGTAAACAATATTGTCAACAATCATCTTATTGAATAAAGTAATTATTTATTTAGGTTCACTTCTACCTACTCCAGCGGGATGTCATGTACTTCCAGAACATGGTATGATCACATATATTTCATGATTACACAAGTTTAAGGATGACGTCAACGCCGCCAAATTCTCTGCATGGCGCCTAATATACAGTGCTATAGAGTGATATATTATGGTATAGCGATAATTTCTCATCTATGTCAAAAACGAGGACGTCCAAAAAAGGTGGATGTAATGTCACTTTTGACTGCACGGTTGGTACTCGGCAACCGGCTGCCGTGCAACGTGTCGCGGGTTCGATTCCCGCACGGAATAACACTTTGTGTGATCCACAAATTGTTGTTTCGGGTCTGGGTGTCATTGTGTATGTGAACTTGTATGTATGTAAACGCACCCACGACACGAGAAAATAATAATGCGGGGCAACGTTTTCTTTAAAAAAAAAATAAACTCTAGCTAAACCGTCTCAAAGTCATAATAGAGAAAATAGCATTTTAATGTTTGTACTGTTTCATTAAATATTATTAAATACTTCACAAATTCACAAGCCTTCGGTGGTTTACATGTAGTAGTGTTCAGGTTGTGTAAATGGGCCTCCGGTAACCTCACTCACACGACGAAACACAATGCAAGCGGTGTTCGGTCTTCTGTGCCGAAGCATGGCTCTCCCACACTTAAACTAAATCAATCTTTTTAACCGACTCGATTGAAATTTTTTTTAGATTACAGAGAAGGACAATATATAGGTATTTCTACTGCCGCAAGCCGCGGACGAAAGACTGAACAAGTAATAGCTATTAAATATAAAACAAAGATATATTATGTGCCTAAATAAAAAAAGAAAAATTATTGAAACGTTTAGGTAATGTGATAAGTGGTAATCTATATAAATAAAAATGAATTTCTGTTCGTAAGTCTCGCTAAAACTCGAGAACGGCTGAACTGATTTGGCTAATTTTGGTCTTGATAGGTTCGTGGAAGTCTAGGGAAGGTTTAAAAGGTGAGAACAAACTTTTAGGCGGTACGAAGTTTGCCGGGTCAGCTAGTGAGGAATAAAATTAATTAATGTAGTACGTACCAAACCTATACATTTCCTTACAAGGTATCTAAAAGTTATGAAACATTTTCCCTTTAACGGATGAGTAATTATGGTTCGATAATTGATTCATGACATTAGTTATGTCGTCTCATCGTGACTTTTTATGCAACATAGTTCATAAAATAACGCCTTTTACATGTATTTTACGAGAACCTTCACTGATAAATATAGATACAGGCAAAGTCATGCAGTATTCAGGTATTAAAACAATTTTATTCAGTACAGAGACAAGTAGCTATATAATGTTATTCTAAGTAGTGCGCCTGCAGATACGGAGCTGCGGAGGCGTTAACGGGTTGCCGGGGCTCCGGCTCGAAGTGCAGGAGTAGGAACTGGGTGGTTTTTAATCAGTAAGAGTCTGACACTCCCTCTCGCCTCACTCAAGCGGGAGAAATCATTAAATTATCCCCCTTTAAAAAAAGTTTTTTTAATATTTTATTTGGTAAACATTGGCTGCTCCAGTAGCCAAATAAAGGTTATTGTCTCCGTACTAAATCAGTCTTCATTTTCTTACTAGCACATCATAATACATTAACATTTTGGAACATAAAGCCAAGATCAGTAACTTTTACGGCTTGTTCGAAATTGTAACACAGTCATGATTACTTCTATAATCAAATCCTATATTTAATTTGGCATTTATACATTTAGCTAAATGACATGAATGTAGGAATTGTCGATGTTTAAGAAAATAGTAAATACTGAGGCAAAGAGCAAGGCTAGAGACTAATTTATTGGAACATTTCGTACAGGAGCAGTCAAATCTATTTACGTTCGCGTCGGGCGCGGGCAGATTAACACGAACCACCAACTACTATGACTAACGAAATTCATATTACAGACAATTCAGTGTCAAATATTTTCCCTCATTTGCTATAGAAACTTCGCCTTTATATTTGGAAGAATAAAGTATATTATCGCGTGGAGATTTACGATGGGAACTTTTTATTGAAGAGATCTTTTCTGTTAATGACACTATCTGAGGTCATTTCGTGGTAGAAACGGAAGCGTGTCTATCATTTTCTGGCTTTATTTATATGTACTTCAAATATGGCTGAATGTAGTAAGGTAGTTGTTAAGATTTAAGCCAAAATTATTCGTTATCTAGATGGCTGTATAAATTATCTGTGTCTTAGATAAACAGAGTATGGTAAATGACAGTGTTGCATGTTTTAAATTGCACTTAAATAGTAAAACAATGTTGTTGCTGTAGCTGGAAATTTCAATTACAATAATTGTTTCGAGGTTACATTAAATGGTTTAAAATCTAAATATCCCTCTTGCGTTCTTAGTTTTATTTTCAGGATAAAAACAGGTTCACTGGAAAACTAGCAGACCTGACATCGGACTTTCTGTTTAATTTAAATGCGTCCAATTTTCCTGTTTATAATGTCGTTGGTAATTGGTTAATTATGTAAATATCCTATACACCTGCCTGCACAGTTAATTTTATTTATTTATTTATCATTTCATGAACACCTTACTTAATATTACAGAGGACAACACATTAACAGCATGAGGTACATAGGTTTATTTGAGTTTGAACCAAAATAGCTGTAGAATAAACATAATATGAAGCCTTTTTATCCCCAAAGGGGTAGGCAGAGGTGCACATTTCGGCACTTAATGCCACTGTACAATGTAACACCCACTTTTCACTATTTATGTTATGAGTCCCATGTAATAGGGGGTGAGCCTGTTGCCATATACCGGGCACAATTCCAGACTCCGTGCTACTACCAAGACCCCTTGCCCGCACTTGCGACCACTCGGCCAACGAAGCGGCTAGTCGACGTAGCTGTAGAATAATATTAATAATTACATTTTAAATAAAATAGGACAGAAAATACTCGAAACAAATGTACCCAAATAAAAATAATGGTGAGGCAGTCATTACTCGGCACGAATGGGCCGGCTTCAAAGGAAACCGACGCTGTCGTGAAACAACGCTTGCTTTGTGTTTCATCGTATGAATGAGGTTACTGGAGACCCAATAGTTCCCTAAATCCCCTATCCCAAATCCCTAAATACCCAAAACCCCAATTCACATAAGGTTACTAGGATAAAAAGGTAAGGTAAGTGGTCATAGGTGGCGCCGACTGCTTACTATCAGGTGATCCGTCTGCTCGGTTACCGTACCATACTATAAGAAGCCAACTTATTCTAAAAATATACGAACACTACATATAGGTAATTTAATATAACAATGGTAAAATGACAAGATCATTTGAAGACCATTGTAAGAATATGTATTTATCAAGTTATGCATCATTATCTTCTACTGTAGTCTCTGGTAGATAAATGACAAGCTTAACATTATAATTTTTAATTAACTAATTTTGACTGTGACCTTATTTGAATACTGAATGTCGTGGTGGCCCGGACGTTTAAGACGCTCGCTTCTCATGCTTGAAGATGCGGGTTCGAAACCTACCAACGGCAAGTACTCTGTGTACTTTCTAAGATTATTTAGACACCACTGATAAATGGCGAAGGATAACATCGTGAGGAAACCTGGGCTTACAATTTCTAATTATAAGTTTGTAATCGCCAATCCGCATTGAACTAACCCTAACGTAGTGATTAATACTCCAATGGCTCCGTGGCTTTGCTCAGTAGTGGCCATTTATTGGCTGTTGATGATGATAAATGACATTGAATTGGTTGTCCAGTCAACTTCTCTCAAATTGTAAGCAATCCCTGATCTAAGATCGAGTGGCAGTTAACGACATTTTGTATTTCATCAACATAGAAGTGCCATTTAAAGTACAAGTAAGGGATTAATTTAGATGCTACCTCCCGCTAAATAACTCTTACTTATGAGATGATTTAGGGGTGGTTTCACCAATCTGGTGGTTTGTAGTCTCTTACTTTGTAATTAGTTATTTGAAGTACATTTGATCGAAGGACGTAAATCGTCATGACAACAGACTTACCAGATTTTATCGGATGACATCATCTTATCAGTCAACCGATGATTTTCCCCCCTTAAAAAAATCTATAAGTTTTTAAAAAATCCTGGCTGGTGATGTGACTGCACGGTGACTGATGTGTGAGAATGCACTTTTAATACCTTGAATCTCTGTAGTGAATCAAAGTGTGGGTTAGTTTGATTTTTAGGTTCAAAACTGTCAAACACCAAGCGGTCACCGGTGACCGCAACCTATTGTTCTATAATTGTGTCTACAAAACCGGTACTCGACGAGTTAAAGAACTAGGTACATACCTATAGATAACCAGTTTTGATTTTTATTCCTATTCTGCACGATTTTTATTTCTATTCTGCGGGAATGTTTCGGTAGGTACTTAGTTAAATCTATACTCTATACTAATATTATAAAGCTGAAGAGTTTGTTTTTTTGTTTGTTTGAACACGCTAATCTCCGAAACTACTGGTCCGATTTGAAAAATTCTTTCTGTGTTGGATAGCCCATTTATCGAGGAAGGCTATAGGCTATAAAATATTACGCTACGATTAGCAGAGCGAGTGAGACCGCGCGGAAGTAGCTAGTTACCTACGTATATAGCTTCTAACAAGCTAACGTACAAAAATTAAATTACGTTTTCTTTATATTATGTATGTAAATTACAAAAATACTAACCGGTTTCTATGATTACACCAAACAAACAACGGCGATGAATGTCAAAAGGTATCTATGTCAAATATTTAATATCAGAGATAAAGTTTATATTTATTTATCAAAAATTAATTAAGTTACTTTATCGATTTTAATGCAATATAGATAATCTGCTTTATTAACTAAATTCACGCATCCATTAACATTATCATATACTAGTTTTTCGTCCATTGCTTCGGCTGCGAATGAATTAATTTTTTTCTAGAGTAGGTCCTATAGAAAAATCGGGATAAGATGTCCCATGTTACTCCATAAAAAGTAAGCTTTTTGATAGTTAAAGATTACTTTAAGATGGTCTATTAGTTTCGTAGCTAATGCAAACAAACGAACAAACAATCAAATCAAACTATTAATGCAATGCAAACAGACAATCAAATCTTTCGACTTTATTATACTAGCGTAGATAATTTGATAAAAGTCAACGTAGTTACTTTGCTATCACCAGTAGGTATCAGCAATAGACTTACCGTTTCATTTAATATGAGATCCGAAAACAAGCAGAACAAAAATAACCCAGGAATTGTGTCACCACATATAAATCGGGAACACTATAAATATTTTACGAAAACTCAACATTGTATACACAACACATCACAAAATAGACTTTCAATATATATTTCACTAAATGTTGTAATACAACGCGGTAAAAATATGCACTTTTGATTCTTAAAAAAAATATGATGAAAATACACAATTCGTATCCAAAGTTTACCCAAGTGTACACTATTCCATTCGGTCACATTCGTTCGTTCACTGGTCTATTTACATACACTGTAATTATAAACGAATTGCTGCATTTGTATAGTCTATTTTTATTCAAAGACACTTCCAACTGCCCATTGAATGCGCTATTAATTTAATAGTTATTTAAAACACGCTATAGGTACAACACTTCACTAAATCATCTTCTAAATTGTCGACCTTGAATAGATTTCCTTAAAAATATCATTTTTATGTTCGAAACGTACGATATTCAAAACGTACACAATATCCGTATTATTGATTTTAATTTCGTAACATTTTTTTAATGCGACGCCATGATTGTTTTGCACACAGAGAACAAAATTTTGTAATGCCGCGAAAATTGAAAATAGAACGTCGTATTCTTTTTAATTATGTGTAGCGATAAACACACCGCGCGACGTCTAGTGAGCAACTAGCGATGTGGCGCTTCCTACATCCGTTCGGTAATGGACGGCCCTGGCCTTGCCGCGGCCAGACAATGCTGCAGCGCTTCATTTTATTAACTAATTGTACAGTTGATTGCTTCCGATTCATCAATGGGTTTAGGGCCCGTCGACCACTCGTTCTAGTCACCTGGAGTCAACTTAATATGTCTTTTAGAACTGTCTGCTTTTTTGAAATGAAATACTGTCAAATACTAAGTCCTACTTAATATCTAAATTGAAGACCGTCATTTTAAGATTAGTGCAAATGTGTAATATGTAGATATAATTTATCAAGGAACTGTATTCATACAACCGTTAGATTACTAAATTTTGTTTGAGGTCTGTTGGAACACAGCCAAGTAAATTTTGCGACATTCGCGTCCTAATGACGAAATCGCTACATTTTTGCCATGAGCGTGACTCGATATGGAAATATCACATTTATTTATCCTCTAGGTATCTATATAATTATTTTCCCGTACGACTACGTCTTGGGGATATAAATTTTTTCTCAATCGATATAAGAAATACCATAGAGGTTTTATTACAAGCTATGTGTGTGTCCTACTTCAAAGATATTTTGTTCCCATTCCGCATCAGTGTTCAGGGAATGTTGTATGTCTCGCATACTAATGAATTATATACTTACGTGTATTTTCTTATCCTAAACCGAACGGCATGAATACTAAACTCGTCAGTCGGGTCATCCGCTTCAAAAGTAGAGTCAAAATAAACGATTGAAGTTCTAATAGATTTTCGTAAAACCAAACGGAATGCATAATTTTTCATTAACCATCAAATGTATGATGTCACGAAAGAGCAATATTTGTACAATATTTCTAATTAAAAAAAAAACACGAATAAAGAAACTTAATTGTGCAGCTCAATCCCTGTACACAATTATTGTACCAAACGCAAATATAAGATTGTCGAATGTTAGGTTGCCTGCAGTGGACTTTACGCTGTAACTGCAGGGGCGATGGTTAAAATTACCTTGAACCGATATTATACATTTGAAAATATGTAAGTTTGTGTGAATGTTTATTACTCAGTCACATCAAAACCGTTGAAGCGATGGGAGTAGATTATGCTCTGCAGTATACACATAGGTTTTTTACCTCTGGGAACGCGGGCAAAGCCGGTGGCCGTTCTCTAATAAACTGTAAATATGTTCATGAATAAACGTTTAGAGAGTATAATATGGGCTCCGAATTTCAACAAGAGAAACTCAGAAATTATTTGAAACTCCAGAGGAAAAATAAACACTAAACTCTCAGTTCTCCCTCATTCTCATTTTATAAAACACTCAATACAACAATAATAGAATTGTTTCATAAATTACATTTCAAAAAATCGACTTTAACCCCCTTTTTTGGAGTCGGTTAATTAATAAAACCTCCTAAATGACAAAAGTATAACAAACACTTATCTGAAAAATACTTTTCACTCTTCTTTTTTGAAGTCAATTAAAATTATATTTATTTATTAAATTAAAGTAATAGCGTTCTTCACCTTCTTATCGTCTGTTGAGAGACGTAAACAACATTCTTCTTTACGTCATACCAAGCAGTAAATCATTCAATCATCGTCATTGAAGTACTTGCATATTTACTTACATAATTGAGTACCTATAGAGGTAAAGAAACAAGTATCCTCTCAACTAGTTTTGCGAGTAAAGCCTTGAGGAAAATAACAAAAAAACGGCAGTATCCTGGCGACCAGCGGCATAGGCGCACCTGTGGATAAAATGTTAAACGACACCGAATATTTTAATGGACCGGTTAACGTAACGTGGAACGAGACAGATAATTACGACTACGAAAACCTTAATGGAACTGCAAATTTTACACTTGACTTAGGAGACATGAATAAAAGTCTAGAATATAAAGAAAGCTACCAGGGAAACGAAGGAAGCTATGTAGTGGAAATTGTTTGGGACACTGGGATTGTCATCTCGACATTATGCCTAATACTGCAAATAGTGCTCGTCATCATCCGGCCAAAGCTACGGAAACTGGACCAGAAAATCCTCATACAATTAACGTTGGCAAGATTAATGAACTCGATCATGGAGATGCTAATGAACTACCAGTACTTCAATGACTACACGAAGGACCCGACGTTCGCGTTGTATCTACAAACAGACGCAGTGCTCGTCTCTTGGATGTTTGTGTTCACGAAGAATTTATACGACAAAGTGGTTGTTGTGTTTGTGACAACAAGGTTCAACTTTCTGCTGCTATCAGTGTTAATATGGGTCCTTACTATACCAGTAGGTATACTGTGTCCAGTGTCTCTACAGAACGGTTTCTATATGGAATTGTATAAATCTTACGCTTGGGTGAAGTTCATTGTTTTGACTATTAACCTCTTGTTTTTCGGCAGAATCTTCCGCGTAATCATAACCAAGTCCAATGCTGGTAACAGGAACATGAAAAATATTGTAAAGACTTGTATAATTTCCTTTCTCTTGGTTATTTTGACCAGTTTACAAGTATTTGTTAATGATATATTATCGTATTTGGAAGTGACTGCTGTGTCAGAAGCATTCTGTTTAATAAATTCTTTCCAAGTGGTACCTGCCACAGTAATATTTCTTATTCTTGCTCAAAATAGTAATTGATTCTTAAATATCAAAAAAATAGTTATTGATTCTCAAATATCAAATTGTCTACCTGTCTACCTCTAGACCGTATTAGTTTTTCTCAATCAAAGCGAGAGGCGAGAGAAGATAATTCAGTCTCTTTGTGTCATGAATTTTCGTTTGTATGTGTGTTTAAGTTTATTAGTTTATTTTATTTAGTATTTAAAGTTTAAGCACAAATGAATGGTTCTAGGTGAACCAGCATTTGTTTGCAACTTTAAATGGAGTGATGTCACACAATAGACATAATATTAGGTTAAAGATTATTAAGTTGAATTGACTGCTCAGTACAATACTGTAAGGCTTTATATAAACAAATGACTTGATCAGGGGCTAGTCCTACAAATTTAAATACCTACAATAAAACGATATGTGTAAAAATGTACTTGTCATTACTGTTTTCACCATTTCCATTGTTACGTTCGTGGATAAGTTTTTATTTGAAACAGCTTTTCCTCCCTTCTACATATTACTTCTGATTCTCTGTATAGGTACTTTATGGCTGACGATGATCTCATAGTACTTAAGCAATTAAGTCAATATTATGTAGTAGATTATACTAATTCAGTACTAAGTATTCTGTAGACATACGTATTGTACTCGTGTGAAATGTACTAATTATAAGAAATATTATTATTAGATATATATTTTATTCAGAATACACATTTTCCAATAAGTACCTATATTCCAAATATTGTAGTTTTTTTTTTATCATTTTAACATCATTAACGTCACGCCTTTTTATCCTCGAAGGGGTAGGCAGAGGTGCACATTACGGCACTTAATGCCACTGTACCGACAAT